AGTATCAGTACCAGCCCAATGGCCATGTGGTGCCTTGTCCAGCTGGTGTGAAGGGGGCTGCATCGTGGACAGCTGGTGCTTTGGGAGGACCTTTCTGAGAGTCTGAACTTGTGAGGAATTTGAATCTCCTTCATATTGTTCTTGCACACTCCTCCTTTACACATTTGAATCCAAACTCAAACTGAAATTCTACAGCGTCGATTTGAGGCAATTGAAGCAATTGTTTGTGGTTGTTCCTGAGATTAGTTTGTGTTGGAGTCTGTTGCTATGATGCGTACTGAAAGCAAGTGAGAGTATGCGACGCCTCGTGTCTTTTTGGTTACTGTTCAACTGATACATCTTTGTTGACCTAACTTGATTTTGCTCCTTTCAGGGTCTCATTTTTTCATTGGATCAGTGTGTGTTTTCTCCATTGGTGTTTCTTCTTTTTGAGTTCGATATGAATGATATTGAACATGCATCAAGGCTAGTTCGTTGGATGAGTTGGATGTGTGTTTTCTCCATATTGGGTGTTTCTTCTTTTTGGCCGGGTGACGGTAGCACATTGGGCAGGACCTGACCGAGTGGAAGAGCTACGTGTTTTTTTCTCCGATTTGAAAGCAGCTGGCGCCAAGCTCACAATCATAACCAAGGGCAATGTGGGTGCCTGCCGCTTTTTACTCCAAGAAGAGGGTCTACTGGGATTTTTCGAGAAGGTCTTTGGCATGTTGGGCCAGTTCTATGGTGAGTCTGAGTTCGATCAAGAGAACAAGCAGCCATCCGAGTTGGAAGGTACTCCAGACTGTCAACTTCCAGACATGAAGGTAAATCTGATTCAAGCACTGATGTCTCAGGCAGGTCTGAGCACGAACGAGGCTGCTTTGGTGGAGGATGACGCAGCAGAGATAGCTTCTGTCAAAGGTGTTTGTCGCAGTGTCTTTGTGTCAGAGCGGAAGGGCATGACTGCAGGAGAAATGCAGGAGTTGAGATCCATGGTAGGAGTCCAAAAAGAAGCAGCCCAAGCCAAGAGCACAGCAGCTCCCAAGCAAATGCCCTCCGCTGTTGCAACTGCACCGGCTGAGCCAAAAGTTGCGAAAGAGGCGTCTTCATCGGTGAAGCATGTGTATTTTGATTTCGACCAGACGATTTCCAGAGTGCACGTCTTCAAGCAACTGGCTGGATGGGAGCCTGGTGTTGCAGGACAACATTCTTTGTCGGAACGGGGACAGATTCATCGGTTGAAGCTTCTGAATGATTCAACTCAGTATCAGTACCAGCCCAATGGCCATGTGGTGCCTTGTCCAGCTGGTGTGAAGGGGGCTGCATCGTGGACAGCTGGTGCTTTGGGAGGACCTTTCTGAGAGTCTGAACTTGTGAGGAATTTGAATCTCCTTCATATTGTTCTTGCACACTCCTCCTTTACACATTTGAATCCAAACTCAAACTGAAATTCTACAGCGTTGATTTGAGGCAATTGAAGCAATTGTTTGTGGTTGTTCCTGAGACTAGTTTGTGTTGGAGTCTGTTGCTATGATGCGTACTGAAAGCAAGTGAGAGTATGCGACGCCTCGTGTCTTTTTGGTTACTGTTCAACTGATACATCTTTGTTGACCTAACTTGATTTTGCTCCTTTCAGGGTCTCATTTTTTCATTGGATCAGTGTGTGTTTTCTCCATTGGTGTTTCTTCTTTTTGAGTTCGATATGAATGATATTGAACATGCATCAAGGCTAGTTCGTTGGATGAGTTGGATGTGTGTTTTCTCCATATTGGGTGTTTCTTCTTTTTGGCCGGGTGACGGTAGCACATTGGGCAGGACCTGACCGAGTGGAAGAGCTACGTGTTTTTTTCTCCGATTTGAAAGCAGCTGGCGCCAAGCTCACAATCATAACCAAGGGCAATGTGGGTGCCTGCCGCTTTTTACTCCAAGAAGAGGGTCTACTGGGATTTTTCGAGAAGGTCTTTGGCATGTTGGGCCAGTTCTATGGTGAGTCTGAGTTCGATCAAGAGAACAAGCAGCCATCCGAGTTGGAAGGTACTCCAGACTGTCAACTTCCAGACATGAAGGTAAATCTGATTCAAGCACTGATGTCTCAGGCAGGTCTGAGCACGAACGAGGCTGCTTTGGTGGAGGATGACGCAGCAGAGATAGCTTCTGTCAAAGGTGTTTGTCGCAGTGTCTTTGTGTCAGAGCGGAAGGGCATGACTGCAGGAGAAATGCAGGAGTTGCGATCCATGGTAGGAGTCCAAAAAGAAGCAGCCCAAGCCAAGAGCACAGCAGCTCCCAAGCAAATGCCCTCTGCTGTTGCAACTGCACCGGCTGAGCCAAAAGGATCGGCCACCAGAGCACAAAAAGACCCAGCTACATCCCATGAACAAGCAGAAGCCAGCGATACTTTACAAGCGAGGCTCACGCAAGTACTGGCATCTGAAGCTGCAACACAAACAAAGCTACAAGAAGCGCAAGCATTTGAGGCTACTCTGACAACAGAACTTGAGGAGTCCAAAGCAGCAGTGGCCATAGCTTCAGCACAGGCTGCGGGAAAGGACAGGCTCAGCACTTGTCAGCCAGTCCGAGAGTATTTTTCAATATTTTTTCAATATTTAATATGTTTCACATTGGGTGTCAGGATACCACAAGAGCTGTCCGGTTAAAGTGCTGATCATCAGCAACTGTTGCATCATCCAATTCTTTGGTACCCAATTTCGACATATTGAGATGGCAGCGGTTTCCTCAGTAAATAGTGTCAGCAAGCAAGGCCACCTAGTTAGATGTTCCCACAGATGGGGATGAGTCCAAAGGTCTCCTTTGACTAGAACTCTTAGAATGGTTGCCTGGTATTTGGATGTATTTGGACGATTTGGTTTGAGGATCTTTCCTCTGATTCCATGATACGAAATGAATTGAACAAGTCCTAGGTCGATGATCCAGGCTATCTTGGAACTCCATGAAAGTCTTTTCGTGGTTTCTGATGGGCGTCGCGCTTAAACGATCCAAAGGCATTCGAAATATTTTGAAATAGTGATACAACGTGAATGTATCAAGTGTCTTGGTTAGTGTTGAGTTGGCTTGTGCGCATACACTTGTTGGGTTAATCCAGTTTGGCAGGAAGCTCTGCAAAAAGAGCTGGAGACCGCCAAATCAGCTGCAAATTCCTTGGAGGCGTCAAAGACAGCCCTGGAGAAAGCCTTGGAAGAACAGAAGAACACATCAGCATCGCTTGAAGACCAACTTTATCAACAAAGGCAATTGTTAGATGAACAAGCAGAAGCCAGCGATACTTTACAAGCGAGGCTCACGCAAGTACTGGCATCTGAAGCTGCAACACAAACAAAGCTACAAGAAGCGCAAGCATTTGAGGCTACTCTGACAACAGAACTTGAGGAGTCCAAAGCAGCAGTGGCCATAGCTTCAGCACAGGCTGCGGGAAAGGACAGGCTCAGCACTTGTCAGCCAGTCCGAGAGTATTTTTCAATATTTTTTCAATATTTAATATGTTTCACATTGGGTGTCAGGATACCACAAGAGCTGTCCGGTTAAAGTGCTGATCATCAGCAACTGTTGCATCATCCAATTCTTTGGTACCCAATTTCGACATATTGAGATGGCAGCGGTTTCCTCAGTAAATAGTGTCAGCAAGCAAGGCCACCTAGTTAGATGTTCCCACAGATGGGGATGAGTCCAAAGGTCTCCTTTGACTAGAACTCTTAGAATGGTTGCCTGGTATTTGGATGTATTTGGACGATTTGGTTTGAGGATCTTTCCTCTGATTCCATGATACGAAATGAATTGAACAAGTCCTAGGTCGATGATCCAGGCTATCTTGGAACTCCATGAAAGTCTTTTCGTGGTTTCTGATGGGCGTCGCGCTTAAACGATCCAAAGGCATTCGAAATATTTTGAAATAGTGATACAACGTGAATGTATCAAGTGTCTTGGTTAGTGTTGAGTTGGCTTGTGCGCATACACTTGTTGGGTTAATCCAGTTTGGCAGGAAGCTCTGCAAAAAGAGCTGGAGACCGCCAAATCAGCTGCAAATTCCTTGGAGGCGTCAAAGACAGCCCTGGAGAAAGCCTTGGAAGAACAGAAGAACACATCAGCATCGCTTGAAGACCAACTTTATCAACAAAGGCAATTGTTAGATGAACAAGCAGAAGCCAGCGATACTTTACAAGCGAGGCTCACGCAAGTACTGGCATCTGAAGCTGCAACACAAACAAAGCTACAAGAAGCGCAAGCATTTGAGGCTACTCTGACAACAGAACTTGAGGAGTCCAAAGCAGCAGTGGCCATAGCTTCAGCACAGGCTGCGGGAAAGGACAGGCTCAGCACTTGTCAGCCAGTCCGAGAGTATTTTTCAATATTTTTCAATATGTTTCAATATTTTTCCCGAGAGCGTCTGAGCGCAGGGTTCTTCCAATAGTCTAGTGGGGGTCTGTATCTCATCTTCTCATCTTCACACCTTCTCTCACATCTTCTCATCTTCACATCTTCTCATCTTCACATCTGCTCATCTTCACATCTTCTCATCTTCACATCTTCTCATCTTCACACCTTCTCATCTTCACATCTTCTCATCTTCACATCTTCTCATCTTCACATCTGCTCATCTTCACATCTGCTCATCTTCACATCTTCTTATCTTCATATCTTCTCATCTTCACAACTGCTCATCTTCACATCTTCACATACTCACACCTTCTCTTTCTCTCTCTCTCTCTCTCTCTCGCACTCGCACTCACACCTTCACACCTTCACACCTTCACACCTTCACACCTTCACATACTCACTCTCTCTCTCTCTCTGTCTCCTCTTTCCTCTCTCCTTTCTCTCTCTCTCTCTCTCCTCTTTCCTCTCTCCTTTCTCTCTCTCTCTCTCTCCTCTTTCCTCTCTCCTTTCTCTCTCTCTCCTTTCTCTCTCCCTTTTCTCTCTCTCGCCTTCTTTATCTTTCTCTCTTTAGGCCGAGGGTGGTGCCGGCGGGGAGTCACGAAACGTGAACCCTTTCGCACGAAATGAGGTTCGATCGGCCAAAACTGAGGTAAAATTGCGATTTTACTTGTGCCGGAGCAACCTTTTCGCACGAAATGAGGTTCGATCGGCCAAAACTGAGGTAAAATTGCGATTTTACTTGTGCCGGAGCAACCTTTTCGCACGAAATGAGGGTCGATCGGCCAAAACTGAGGTAAAATTACGATTTTACTTGTCCTGGAGCAACCCTTTCGCACGAAATGAGCGTCGATCGGCCAAAACTGAGGTAAAATTGCGATTTTACTTGTGCCGGAGCAACCTTTTCGCACGAAATGAGGGTCGATCAGCAAAAACTAAGGAAAAATTACGATTTTACTTGTCCTGGAGCAACCCTTTCGCACGAAATGAGCGTCGATCGGCCAAAACTGAGGTAAAATTGCGATTTTACTTGTCCTGGAGCAACCCTTTCGCACGAAATGAGGTTCGATCGGCCAAAACTGATGTAAAATTGCGAGTTTACTTGTCCCGGAGCAACCCTTTCGCACGAAATGAGGGTCGATCGGCAAAAACTGAGGTAAAATTGCGATTTTACTGGTCCCGGAGCAACCTTTTCGCACGAAATGAGCGTCGATCGTCAAAAACTGAGGTAAAATTGCGAGTTTACTTGTCCCGGAGCAACCCTTTCGCACGAAATGAGTGTTGATCGTCAAAAACTGAGGTAAAATTGCGATTTTACTTGTCCTGGAGCAACCCTTTCGCACGAAATGAGTGTTGATAGTCAAAAACTGAGGTAAAATTGCGATTTTACTTGTCCCGGAGCATCTGTGTAAAAGTGTCTGTGTGTAAAAGCTTCTGTGTGTAAAAGTCTTTGTGTGTAAACGGGTTTGTGTGTAAGAGTGTTTCTGTGTAAAGATGTTTGTGTGTAAAAGTGTTTGTGTGTAAAAGTGAATCTGTGTAAAAGGGTTTGTGTGTAAAAGCTTTTGTGTGTAAACGTGTCTGTGTGTAAAAGGGTTTGTGTGTTAAAGCGTCTCTGTGTAAAGTGGTGTGAGTGCAGAAGGGTTTCTGTGTAAAAGTTGTTTCTGTGTGACAGCGGCAATGTGTGTGTATAAGCTTCTGTTTGTAAAAGTCTTTGTGTGTAAACGGGTTTGTGTGTAAGAGTGTTTCTGTATAAAGATGTTTGTGTGTAAAAGTGTTTGTGTGTAAAAGTGAATCTGTGTAAAAGGGTTTGTGTGTAAAAGCTTTTGTGTGTAAACGTGTTTGTGTGTAAAAGGGTTTGTGTGTTAAAGCGTCTCTGTGGAAAGTGGTGTGAGTGCAGAAGGGTTTCTGTGTAAAAGGTGTTTCTGTGTGACAGCGGCAATGTGTGTGTATAAGCTTCTGTGTGTAAAAGTCTTTGTGTGTAAACGGGTTTGTGTGTAAGAGTGTTTCTGTGTAAAGATGTTTGTGTGTAAAAGTGTTTGTGTGTAAAAGTGTTTCTGTGTAAAGATGTTTGTGTGTAAAAGTGTTTGTGTGTAAAAGTGCATCTGTGTAAAAGTGTCTGTGTGTAAAAGCTTCTGTGTGTAAAAGTGTTTCTGTGTAAACGGGTTTGTGTGTAAGAGTGCTGTGTAAGGATGTTTGTGTGTAAAAGTGTTTGTGTGTAAAAGCGTCTGCGTGTAAATGTTTCTGTGTGTAAGAGCTCCTGTGTGTAAAAGGCTCTTTGTTAAAAGTGTCTGTGTGTAAAAGTGTCTGTGTGTGTGTAAAAGTGTCTGTGTGTAAAAGCATCTGTGTAAAAGCGTATGTGTGTAAAAGCTTCTGTATGTAAAAGCTTCTGTGGGTAAAAGCTTTGTGTGTAAAAGTGTCTGTGTAGAAGTGTCTGTGTGTAAAAGCATCTGTGTAAAAGCGTATGTGTGTAAAAGCTTCTGTATGTAAAAACTTCTGTGGGTAAAAGCTTTGTGTGTAAAAGTGTCTGTGTAAAAGCGTCTGTGTGTAAAAGCTTCTGTGTGTAAAAGCTTTTGTGTGTAAAAGTGTTTGCGATGCAAACTGTTGTCTTGCACTTCTGCTATTTTGTCTTAATACTCCTCTTCTCGACTGCATATCACACATCTTTAATATATTGTTTCTAATATGGTGTCTCCATACTAACAACAGAAGACCCTGCTCCTCTACGCTCTCGGGCCATCCGTCGTCTAGTTCAATATTTCTCAATATTTTTCAATATTTAATATGTTTCACATTGGTGTCAGGATACCACAAGAGCTGTCCGGTTAAAGTGCTGATCATCAGCAACTGTTGCATCATCCAATTCTTTGATACCCAATTTCGACATATTGAGATGGCAGCGGTTTCCTCAGTAAATAGTGTCAGCAAGCAAGGCCACCTAGTCAGATGTTCCCACAGATGGGGATGAGTCCAAAGGTCTCCTTTGACTAGAACTCTTAGAATGGTTGCCTGGTATTTGGATGTATTTGGACGATTTGGTTTGAGGATCTTTCCTCTGATTCCATGATACGAAATGAATTGAACAAGTCCTAGGTCGATGATCCAGGCTATCTTGGAACTCCATGAAAGTCTTTTCGTGGTTTCTGATGGGCGTCGCGCTTAAACGATCCAAAGGCATTCGAAATATTTTGAAATAGTGATACAACGTGAATGTATCAAGTGTCTTGGTTAGTGTTGAGTTGGCTTGTGCGCATACACTTGTTGGGTTAATCCAGTTTGGCAGGAAGTTCTGCAAAAAGAGCTGGAGACCGCCAAATCAGCTGCAAATTCCTTGGAGGCGTCAAAGACAGCCCTGGAGAAAGCCTTGGAAGAACAGAAGAACACATCAGCATCGCTTGAAGACCAACTTTATCAACAAAGGCAATTGTTAGATGAACAAACAGAAGCCAGCGATACTTTACAAGCGAGACTCACGCAAGTACTGGCATCTGAAGCTGCAACACAAACAAAGCTACAAGAAGCGCAAACTCTGGAAGATGCGTTGACTCAACGGCTGAGCAACTCTCAAGCGGCTGAAGCTGTATTTGAAGAGCTGAATGGTGATATGATCAGCAAGCTTCACATGGCTGACCAGCGGATGGTAGCTTTGGCAGAGGAGCTTACAACATCAAAGGACGGCCAGCATTGATTCAATATACAGCAAGGGATTCCGATGTCGCAGTGCCTCGTCCCTTTTTCTGTCCCACAGCTCTGCACTGCGAGGAGACTTTGCGTTCCTACAAGGACTTCAAGATGGCCATGGAGGCCTGGTTAAGTCACATTCCGTCATTCCATGTCATTCCGATATCATTGATATCATGTTAGTTCTAGGATGTCCGAGGTTTGTCCTTGATCCCGATTTGGATGGACTGTCAATGTTCGGTCCACTGTTGCAAGGTTGGCTTCAGTAAACAATGCAAACTGACTTCTAAAATTGCTTTATTGAATTTACAAATGTGAATTGAGTGTATTGCAGATGATTCAACAAGCCTTTGAGGTTTATTTCCCAAACCTGTCAGACTAGGCTGGACTTGTGGACTTCAAGGAGCGCATGCACCGCATCATTGAGGCACCTGTGAGAAGCACTGTGCAGTTTTTGGTAGCCTGGGTCTGTGGGTATCATGTGGTATCATGAATGTATCGTGTGTAAACTGCCGGGTGTTAGAGTCTGTTAGAGTGTAACAGTTTTGTTTCCAGGTGGGCCAAGCAGGACGGAGTGGAAGTGGCCATTCAGTTCTGGTGAAGTGGAGCGGATACAGCTTGATCATGGTTGAGTGAAGTTGAATGGATTGGGCACAATGCTCTCGGATCTGGGAACCATTGGGAACCCGTCCTATGTAACTCCCAATCATTGGGCTTAGCAGCCACCAGAAAGAATGACACCACAAAGAATTGGCTTTTGATTGTGACAGATTTGATGATACGATCATGATATTATGTGAAACTGTTTGCAACTGTGGAGTCAAGGACCATGTAGTCCCTGTTCAGAGTTTAATGGTTCAAAGTGGGGCTGTGATCAAGCAGAGTCTACAGACATCTACAGACATGTTCCACTCTGAGTCTACAGAGTTTGGAGTTTGGACCGTCCGCAGGACACGCCACCGAGTTTGCTCCAGGCCACCAGGAGAGATGGCATCGGGTGGGGCTTGGTGTGTGGAGTTTGATGCGTTTGATGCGTTGCGTTCCATGGATTTGATGGCCCTCATTGGCCCTCATTGGCCCTCAATTCCTTAGTGAAACGTAGTGAAAACCATGTGAAAACCAATGTGAAATGCCAGGATACGAATCAGTGGCAAGAGGCGCGGCTTTAGATCCTTGTGAGATGCTGTGAGGATCTGTGATGCTCTGTGCAACAAACATAGAGAAGCATTCGGTCCTTGTGAGCTTTTCAGCGTTCGAGTCTTGAAAATGATTTTGCGGTCGCTGAAGCAGTTGACAAGGTGAAGCAAGCCCTTGCTACATTCGAGCAGCGGTTGTCCAATAAGGCCACCCTTGATTGATAGAAGCTGGATGTAACATGTAACATGACTTAACATGATTTAACATGATGAAACATGTTGTAACATGATGTATGTGGTTGCGGCCCACGTGACAAAACTCTAAATGTTTTTTACACGTCGGCCTGGCTGATTTTGAAGGATGTCAATGTGAAAGATGAGTCGAAGGAGCGGGGGGGAGAAAGATTAAGCTGTTTGTCCCCGTTAGGATAGAATCTATCTTGCTACTAGGCTCACGTATTTCTTTGAACACATGGTGAAGCCATGTGAAATCTTGACCATGGAAGCCCAGAAATTATTTCATGAACCATGAGTGAGAACTTGGAGACATTTTTAAGAAGCCACGCAGAGAAATACCTTGACTTCATAGCCAAGACATGCCAAGACTAACTGTTCATAGTTTCCATGCAAGGATGTGCAACATGTTGAAGTTACATGAAGTATCATGAAATTAATGTGTCTTGATGTGTTGTGCATTTGACAGGAGAGCGCCAGCTTGGCCAAGCGTGTTCCTGGAGGCACGCGCGCAGTAGGGCTGCCTATGACACCACGAATCGGAAATCCCTTTTACATGGTGCTGTTGACATTTCTGTCTCTAACTTTCATGCACTATGCATGCAAAGAGTTGACACTGACATATTGCAATGTGTAAAGGTTCATGAATGCCCTGCATTTCCATGCGACATGGAGACAAGCAGCAGGATTAGGCCATGATGTTGGCATGCGTTGGAGAGACATTGTTTGCTGATAGCTTTGCGGCTGGAGTGGACCTTGGATTTACAGACAGAAACCGGACATGAAACAAGCCTCCTTCAGATGCGATGCTTTGGGGTGCAGAATCTGAATCCTTAGCCCATTCCTCAGTATATCTCTGCATTCAACAGAGCGAACCAGTGCAATGCTTTGAATGCTACTAGGGTCTTGCTGATGGGCTTGCAAAATGATGTAAAAAGTGTGTTTAGCCCAGACCATTTTTTCTTCTGACCGACAGGCCCAAAAGTGTCGTCAACTTGCCTGCAGTCAGCGAAATGAACGCGCACGAGGTACCTTTCAACCGTGCGTGGGAAAAGCAGTCCTCTTGAAGTCTGCATGTATTGTATTATCTTGATCAAAGGTTTTCAAAACATGTTCTCGCAACATGTTCGAACGATTAGGGCAAAAATCAGGAAAATATCAGGATAATTTTCGGACAATGGTGAGGCAATCATGAGGTCATGGTGAGGTCACTAAGATGCAAGGAGCATTCGTCTCATCTCTTCACTATCTCCACTGTTGCTCTTCAGCCAGGTTCTCCTTCATCACCCTCCTCTCCTGGACGTTTCAGAATTGTGACAGGCAGAAACATGACTACAAGTTCATTCAAGTTCATTCAAGCTGTGAAGGGAAGAGGATGCAACAGGCATTTTTTTTGCGGGGTTCGCTCTATCTTTTATGCTTTTGAGCAGCACTTGTCATTGAATGCTATAGGGGGCCACTTTGATCAGGGCCGCTCTAGCTACTAGTACTTGAAGCTTGCAAAATCGAAGTTGAAAACTAGAACAAGAAAAAACTACAGTCCACTGACCCACACTGCAGTCAGCTCTGCAGTTAGCTCCCCTTTTTCCAAGTTAACTGCAGAGCTATTCCAAGTTATTCCATGTTTTTTGACGATTGGAGACATTGGAGACCCTACCGTGGAGGCCTCTACTGTACCCACCGACTCTAGGCGAACCTAGCTTTACTTGGCACACAAAGCTAACAAAAGCTAGAAACCTAACAAAAGCTAGAGAAAAAGTCGAAATAAACAAGCATAAACAAACAACTTTTTCCAATTTGCCCCTTTGGCTCCTGGATTCCAAATTTAACTTTGTAAGCACACTGGTGCAGTGAACACTGCAGACTAAATAGAGTTTCACCAAAAAACGATGGTGATGAAGCCAAACTAAAGCTTAAAAAAATCTTTCAAGGATCCCACCCCATTCAAAGACCACATCCAAGAATCCCTGGCTGAAATGATTGGTTCATGTCGCTTCAATGACTTCAAACAAAAAGCAAAAATGCTTTGCTGTTTTGTGTTGTTTTGTGCCTTGAGGACCTGGCAGGGGTGGCAGGATTGCTCGCGTCTTAGAAGTTTTGGTTTGCACTCTCTTCATAAAACGATGTTTCCTATTGTTGAAACTGTTTTACAATATGTTTATGTGTTACATGTTATGTTATGTTATATATGTCTATGTTTGTATGTTTCTTGTGCCCAAGACTCGTGGGTTCAGGCCTCCGGCTTTGCTCGCAAAGTGAAGCGAGGCAAGTTCCACAGATTTCGAGTCTGATTTTTCCGAATCAAAAAAATCATCGTCACCTAATGCTTACGTGCTTACGTTAACGATCCCGCGCTTTTAATTACAGCTGAGGCATTGCAATTTCTTAGCCCATGGAATTTCTTGCAGTATTCTCTTCTCGTTCCATAGTTTTGGAATGCCAGAATGTCATCCTACATCATTCATCATACTGATCATACTACTGCCTTTGGCCTTTTCAGGCCTGAATCTAGCGCAATGTTTTGGGGTTTGAGTCAAGCGGATGCTAGCTGCTAGACATGTATAGAAATGTTTGATCTCGATTGCTGCAGAGGCAGAAGACCATCACGTGACGAGGACAACCAGAACATTGAAGCAACGGAGGCTCTCGATTTCTCCAAATGTGCTTCGCATCCACTCCATCCCCAAAGTTTCCCAATGTCTTGAAGCGACGCAGGCAAGGCCACCTCAGGTGGATGTTGTGAAGAGAGCCCGTCAAATGGCCAAAAAACTTGCCCTGAACTTGGAAGCGAAGTGCTTGGAAGAAGCAAGAACAGGGAAGAGGCGCAGATAGCATGAGGAAATATGAGGAAGATTGAGGAAGGGGTTGTTTCTTTCGTACTTGCCATGTGCGATGACGTTGACGTCAGCTGTTATTGTTTTGTCGAAACTGCCGCGGGTCTGCAGGGCGGCAGAATGGTCATCCGGAGACATCCATGGTCTTGGTCGTGAAGCAGGTACAAGATTTCATCCACGCTGTGCTAGCAGTTGTTCACTGATTATACTGTTATATAAGTTATACAGGATCCTAGTATATTCTAGTAATCCAGATTAATATTTAATTACATAGTGCATAATCTGGCATGTTTAAGATTGTTTAAGTATAACTAATATACTTGAGAACGCATATGTAGAGTAATTATACTGCATGCACTTGGCAAGGTTTTTCGTCTCCCACATGTAAGCGACAGATAGCGACAGATAGCGACAGAGTGAAGGTGAAGCTTTGCTCTCGGAAGTTGCCCATGAAGTGCAGAAAATGGAATTTGCTGAAGTGGTAAAGCTGCCAGGTTTTTGTCAAATGAAGAACTCGACGATGCTTTCCTTGTCAATGTGGTGGTTGTGTCTCCAACCTGAAACATCTATCTACTGTATCTGCCAACAGAGCGTTTTTCTTCAATTGCCCGTGGTGCTACATGTCTTTTGACCAAAACGATATCCTGAAAGTCTGTGCGTTAGGTCAAACGGGGAGAAATTCTCGCTCTTTGATGCTCTTTGCAGGTTGTCATACAGGTTTATATGTTTCACGTGGTTCTGCACTCGTAGCATCTCGTAGCTTATTTAAATTTAAGGCTTATTTGATCATTTTGATCGCCTGCCAGGAATGGTGGCGAGGACCTGTCATTGGATGGACACCTGAAGCGGGCGCCACCTCGCTTGATCCCGACGAAACAAGGTGCGTTTTCCTTGTGTTTTCTCCACGAAGTTTCAATTCATTCCAATTCTAACCTCTTCATCCTCTTCCTCCAAATTTTGAATTTGCATGACATTTTTTTGATTCGGCATGGTGCTTTGCATGTGTCCTGCATGTTCCATTTTGAAATTCGGACACCTTGTGGGCAAGGCCTATACCCTGGAAGCAGTTTGGTTCGTGGGGACTTGCGTTGAAACTGCGTGTTTCTTGGGAAGCATCGAAACGGCCTCCACGAGAGCCAAAAGGACTGCAGACCCATCTGCAAACTCCGAGATCTCCGAGTCAAACTCGACAAAGTGACAGCGACAGATTCGACAGTGAACGGTCAGATTTTTCGGTGTCTCCCAGGCCCATCAGATCCGTCAGCCACAGCCGCCCAAGCGCTTGCATCATATGCCATGACAATAGCAATCGACAAGCCAAACTACTGCCGTGTGGCCACTGCTTTTGTCGCCACTGCATCTTGTCAGCACTTTCTCTCTTCTTTCCTCAATATCTTCAATAATTCTCGAAAGAATTTGGTTCTACATGTTTTGGTGCTGATTTGTGTAGGGTGCATTCAATAGAGACAGAACCAAGACTGTTGTCAGCGCTTTAGGTGCGAGGCGGTCGCGTGGACGTCCATGTGTTCAATGCGGGACCATTTGCGCAGATGTTTCAAACATGGCCGATATGGAATGTCCAGATCGTTCCAAGAGTGACAATGAAGTACTTGATGGAATCGAATGGGAAACCTACGGGGATTCTGCGCCGCCATCGCATGCTTGGGGCATGGGCGGCAAGTACTCACTGCGGCCATTTGCCCAGCGAGCTCCACGCTCACAATCTGCACGTGCTCAACGTGGCATTTGGCAAAACAAGCAAAGCTAAGTGAAGGAACAAAAAGAATAAGTGAAGCTAAGTGAAGCTAAGGGAAGCCCAGAACCACCTGCACAGCTTTGAACGGCTCTCGCGTGGCCGCGCTCCAGCGATGAGCTCTTCCCATGACAGGCGAAGTTGAAGGTACAACATTGTACAACTTCATGGCCCGGATGTGAAATCGTGGCGGTGCAACGAGAATTGCTCGACGACCTCTCAGGGTTTGTCAAAGACAAGCCAGCCATGTTGCAGTTGCGTTCAAAAGCGAGGTGATTTTTTGTTGGTTTTCATGGGTTTTCCTTGTGCCACAAAATCAAGCAGCATGTGGAGAGGCTCTCAGTCCACAGGGTGTTTACGTTGCAGATTAGAAATGCTTACTTTGGGCGTCTTTTGTTTCGGGCCTGTCAGATATACCTTTCGGCCAGCTCACCTGCAATATAGCCGTCTCAGCCAAGTCGATCACATTGGCAATCCATTTTACAGCGTGCAACCACAAGTCCATTGAGAAAGCTGCGAGAGTTGGCGTTGTTTTGTCATCGGAAAAGTCGTGGTTCAACACGCTTTGCATTCCAGGCGGCTGAGCAGCCAAAGGTCATTTGGAACCTGCGGAAGGCTCAAACCGAGAGCCCAAGGAACATGTGACAAACATATGACAGCATATCATCATATCACGACGGACAACCTGTGACAACCAACAGTACGAAGAGCACTGATCTTCCAACAATGATCAGACATTTGCTGTTAGCGCAAAGGCCTGAAATGCTGTTTCGCATATTGCTGCTGCTGGGGCGAAGATGAATGAGGCATGATGGGGCACGGTTTTGCCACGGGTTGCCAAAGTTGCAGAGCCTTAGCATCGCCCAATATTCATGTCATCTCATGGCATCTCATGTCAGGTTGTTTTACGATGAACTGCAATTTGACATAAGTTGTTTCAAAGGCAAGTGGGTCAGTTGTTTCAAGATGCATAAAGCCAAGGCTCATGGCTGAACCATTGCAGTTCCTTCGCCGCTAGCCCATGGAATTTCTTGCAGTATTCTCTTCTCGTTCCATAGTTTTGGAATGCCAGAATGTCATCCTACATCATTCATCATAATTACTGATCATACTACTGCCTTTGGCCTTTTCAGGCCTGAATCTAGCGCAATGTTTTGGGGTTTGAGTCAAGCGGATGCTACTGTAGCTGCTAGAGATGTATAGAAATGTCTGATCTCGATTGCTGCAGAGGCAGAAGACCATCACGTGACGAGGACAACCAGAACATTGAAGCAACGGAGGCTCTCGATTTCTCCAAATGTGCTTCGCATCCACTCCATCCCCAAAGTTTCCCAATGTCTTGAAGCGACGCAGGCAAGGCCACCTCAGGTGGATGTTGTGAAGAGAGCCCGTCAAATGGCCAAAAAACTTGCCCTGAACTTGGAAGCGAAGTGCTTGGAAGAAGCAAGAACAGGGAAGAGGCGCAGATAGCATGAGGAAATATGAGGAAGATTGAGGAAGGGGTTGTTTTTTTCGTCCTTGCCATGTGCGATGACGTCAGCTGTTATTGTTTTGTCGAAACTGCCGCGGGTCTGCAGGGCGGCAGAATGGTCATCCGGAGACATCCATGGTCTTGGTCGTGAAGCAGGTACAAGATTTCATCCACGCTGTGCTAGCAGTTGTTCACTGATTATACTGTTATATAAGTTATACAGGATCCTAGTATATTCTAGTAATCCAGATTATTATTTAATTACATAGTGCATAATCTGGCATGTTAAGATTGTTTAAGTATAACTAATATACTTGAGAACGCATATGTAGAGTAATTATATTGCATGCACTTGGCAAGGTTTTTCGTCTCCCACATGTAAGCGACAGATAGCGACAGATAGCGACAGATAGCGACAGAGTGAAGGTGAAGCTTTGCTCTCGGAAGTTGCCCATGAAGTGCAGAAAATGGAATTTGCTGAAGTGGTAAAGCTGCCAGGTTTTGTCAAATGAAGAACTCGACGATGCTTTCCTTGTCAATGTGGTGGTTGTGTCTCCAACCTGAACTCGACGATACAGATGTAATACATCTTTTTGAAAGCAGATTGTTTACCTCCTAGATCCTCATAGCACGATTTGGAGGACAGGAATTTAATTTTTACCGTGGTTGAGGTTCATCATAGTGACGCAGCCTGCGGTATGGAGAGAGTGGTTCCGCTTGAACAGCTCTTGATGTTGCCTACAGGACGTGGATAAAGTGTATTACCACCATATGATATGATTGAGGTCAAAAATTAAGCGAGTGCATTACTGCCAGGTGCACTTCAGATGGTACTGGCGTTGAGTCACTTTGAGTCGCCCCCTCAAGAACACAATCAGAACACAATCCATGCATTACCACAAGTCTCGCAAACTGTCGCCTGAGGCATTGTACTTGAATATACTTATCAATCTTGAACTTGAACCATTTTGAACCTTTTGTGCAGTTCTGTGATCAGCCTCCTTAAACCAAAACCAAGACATTTTCAAGTCTCAGCCGTTCCTGGCCAGGTCTTTTCAAGACGCTTGATCTTTCTTTGTTTTTGCCTACGGCGCCATTAACGACCCCTGCGTTTTTGCCATTTTTGCTGATTGGAGGCAAGTTGCTCTTGAAATTGATGCATGCAGAACTGATGTCACGTCACTGGGTTGGGGTGGGGTGGGGATGTTAACGTTCATGTTAACTTGCGTCACATGCACAACTGACGTCACGTCACTGGGTTGGGGTGGGGTGGGGATGTTAACGTTCATGTTAACTTGCGTCACATGCACAACTGACGTCACGTCACTGGGTTGGGTGGGGTGGGGATGTTAACGTTCATGTTAACTTGCGTCACATGCACAACTGACGTCACGTCACTGGGTTGGGGTGGGGTGGGGATGTGAACGTTCATGTTAACTTGCGTCACATGCACAACTGACGTCACGTCACTGGGTTGGGGTGGGGTGGGGATGTTAACGTTCATGTTAACTTGCGTCACATGCACAACTGACGTCACGTCACTGGGTTGGGGTGGGGTGGGGATGTTAACTTTCATGTTAATTTGCGTCACATGCACAACTGACGTCACGTCACTGGGTTGGGGTGGGGTGGGGATGTTAACGTTCATGTTAACTTGCGTCACATGCACAACTGACGTCACGTCACTGGGTTGGGGTGGGGTGGGGATGTTAACGTTCATGTGGAAGGAACTGGGAAAGCTGGCCAAAAAGAGTCGACGCTGAAGACCTTGCAAGGTAAGTTGAAAAAGAAGTGTTGCTCAATGACTGGTGGTCAGATGTAACTAATTTTCTCCAACAAAACGAAAAAAAAACAATAATTCGTTTCAGGGGTATTGAAAATCGATGAACGTTTCACACGAAACGCACTTTTTGTAGTAGGCCCCAAAGTAACTACGATTTGACATTTTTATCACGTTTTTACAAAACATTGCAAATACCATGATTTGGTGAACCAAGCATCATTAAAAATCAATGAATTACCCCGGGTCGCTAACCGCGCCGTAGCCTTGTTTTTCGCGGATGAATCTTCACAAAGCAGATTTTACCATTTTCCGAAACACCTGAGATCACCTGCGGATCACCTCTAAAATCACCTGAGGTTTCGATTTACTTCCCATGCTGAATCACTAGGACATCGGCGTGTTTCATTCGCCTTTCATTGCTGCTGCTTTTCAAGCAGTGAAGCCTTCCGGCGTCTGAGGCCCTCTGCACCACCAGCGTATGGTGTCCAAATAAAAGCATGCCAGCCACGCAAAAAAAATCTTAGCAGACTTGGCGTTTGTGCTTTTGGGTTCGCTGGGTTCACACATTTTTCTTGTTCGTTTGTTCGTGCGATTACCTCCAAGCCAGCATTTTTCATGAAAAGTTGTCCCTCGTGTGAAATCGTGTGTCCCATCTTGGCGCAGCTTTGTGTTCAAGTTTTGATATCTAGCCTTGGGCTTGCAACCGCACAAGCCTGAATGGTTGTTGAGTTATGATGGTGAAAAGCGTTCAATTTGGCAGATTCTGCCAGATTCTTCATATCGTTCTTGTTCTTGCAGACTGTCACTCCGGGACTGGAGCTGTTCTGGATGGGGTCAGTTCAAATGTTTCATGTGAAAGTGAAAATGATGGAGTGCTGCTTCAGAAGGCAAGAGTGAAAGATGTGAAAGATGCAATTCAGACAGAGGTGTCAGAGCAACCGGCAGACACAGCGGACACGGCGCTGGTCATGCCACAGCTCGACCAGCTGGACCAGCTTGACGCGCCCAGTGCGAAGTCATTGGGTCCGAGGACGGGAGAGTCCTCGTCGGGCTCGGCCGAAATCGGAAAGTCACACAAAATGGAAGGATTGGAAAGCGATTCCAGCAATTCCAAGAGTGACAGTTTCCTCCAAATTTCCCAGTTCCATGGACATGGACGTGCTGGACACGGTGGAATGCATCATGCAGGCCACTCAGTCCACACTGCTCATTTCATGAAGGCGCACAAAGTGCACCACGACCAGGAACCTCCACCAACGCACCGCAAGCACATGGAGCACCGTCAGCACCACGGGCACGGAAGTGACCTTGAAAGCCTCACGGGCACAGGTCGCACAGGTCACAGTGCATTCAGTGCAAGTCCTCAAATCCTTCAGTCGCTTGAGGCTTTGGAGTCGGGGTCTCCTTCCCTCACCTTGCAGAATGCGGCCAAGCCGGACAAGCCGGGCAAGCCGGGCAAGCTGAGCAACCTTCAAAATGTTTTCTTCAACGATCATCAGCATATGGGCCTTCCACAGTGGTTTGAGAAGAAAAAAGCCACTGCCCGGAGTTTGATGTTTGAAAAATGTCCAACTCAACGGAACCGCCCAACATTATCTGCTGTGGCTATATCCAATACCACTGAAGGATCCTCTGTCAAAGTATCTTGCAACAGCGGCCAACTAGTGGGCTATTGGAGTGGATCGGATTTTATCAGCCGCTGCTGCGAGGAAGATTACTGTGTTGGTTGCGCAATCTGGGACACTGTGAATGGTACTTGTGAGCAGTGCATGTCTGGCTATGCGAGAAAGGAAATTGGCAACAGGACGGAATGTATCATTTGTGATGATGACAGGGCTTGGCAGGATGAAAATGGGAAGACATGCTATGACTTCGAAAACGAAGGCCTTTGCAAAAATGGCATTCCTCCTGGAGACAACAAGCCATTCCAATCTCTCAGGCAGGGACCACGGAGCCGGGAATGTCTCCACTGTCTCCACTTGACAGTCTGGTCAGTAGATGTCAGTAGATGTCAGTAGATGTCAGTAGATGTCAGTAGATGTCAGTAGTTCGTAGGATCCAATTCAATTTCAAGTGATTCAAATTGATTCAAGAGCATACAGTGACCAGAGCTTAGTTTCAAACCGTCATTCAATGTTTTTCGTTTATTTATAACTATCAAGGGTACTATATGAAACTCCAATGGTCACCATCACGTCATCCATCAAGTTGCATGCTTCTCTTCGGTTCCTTTTTTTAATTCGATTTGGTCCTTTGATATCATGACCTGCTCTCTTGAACATCTTGAACTGTGTTTTTGCACAGCATTCAAAGTGTTTCTCTGTGTGTTGCTGTCCTATTTAATTGGTCGGTAGTTGCGGTAGTAATTGTAGTTGTATGTCAGCATATGTGAGCAATATCTTCACATTCTACGGTTGGCCCAGCTCAGGCCCAGCGAAGCCTGCTGTGCTTGTGGTGGTGGGGAGATTTCGCCAACACCTGTCAAGATGCCCTTGAACACCCTTGCGATCCACACCAACCAGGCAAGGATTTCCCAGTTGTAAAATTGTGCTTGACCAGTCTCAGAAATTCAAAACATTTCACAACATATTTCGTGTTACGAATTATATATATAATTGTGTATATATATATATAATGTATTTATACATAATTGTACATATATAAATATGATTTCAAAAGAAATGCAGACAGACTCCGATACAGAACTTAAAGTGATATTAAAGTGTTGTGTTACCTTGTTGTCTTTGTTTGTTTTGCAGGGTTCTTTCCATTTGCGGATGTCGTGGCTTATGGAAATCTACTTTGAAGATCCTTGAAGTGCACGTCAGGATGTGAACTCAACCCCAGCTGCCTACATGGGCTGGTTCTACAAGACTAATCAGGATTGCAACCTCACTGGCCTGGGCCTGGCGTTCAATGGCACCACAGGGAACATCTTCGGCAGGACACCGGTCTACGATGAAGACGACCCGCTTTTGTCGACCGAGTGCGAGGCCATCAAATTCGGAGTCCAAAACACAATCAAAACATCAAAAACTGTGGAACTTCATGGAACTTCTACCTGTCAGCATTGAATGGCTGCACAAGAATGGACGCATAAAGTGAAAGTTGGAAATTGATTGACAGACTTCTTTGATTTGGCATTTCGCATGTTTTGCACAATTGCTATAATACATATAATATATTGCTATTGGTCTCATTCTCTGCCCGTTGTGTTTCACTGTCAGTTCCGTTCGGTTCTGCTTTGATTTGCTGCTCTGTAAGGTTCGGATCTTCCAGGATGTTCTTCGGGGCGTTGCCACCACAGCACCTTTGGAGATTGAAGTGTCCGGGATGACGTACGGATTGAAGAAATTGATTTTTTCAATGGTGGATGGAGATCCAGAACCCATCGGCCAAAAATCGTTCGATCTCCAAGTGGATGGGAGCCTGGCCTTTGAAAGCTTCTCCGTGGCATGCATACCTTTAGTGCCATGGATCAGTCTTAATCAAACGACTGGTAAGCTGACGTATGTCGGAGATGTTGGCAAAACTGGAGGTTTGAATGCTTTAAACCAGGAGGTTCAGGATGTGGCCGATGAGAAAGTGTATGGCGACAGTGGCAAATGCTCTTTGACCGGCAAATTGGTCCAACCGGCACAGTCTCAATCCGGTCCTTTTGGAATCATATCTCAGAGTATCAACACCAGACCGGAGGCACCTCAGCAGGTCGTGGCAGACTTCATTGTTCAAAGAGTTTGGGCTTGGAGTGGCATGAAATATGATCAGGAAGAAATCGTCATCAAGAAAAATGAAGACATTTCTCCTATCGCCTTGAACAGACGTCCTCCAGATGGTTTCTCAGTTTTTACAAAGATCAATGATGATGATGAGGAGGAGGTGTGGTACAAAAAAGACACCGAGCAGTATGTGAAGATCCCTCCGGCAAAGCGCCCAGACACTTGGCGAAAGTTGCGAAACTGTCACTGCAGCTGGTATCAGCTGGTTGCACCTGGCACATCCTCGACACATCCTCACCCGTTCTTTACGTTATTTGCATTACGACATGATGCGACCCTGCGCAAACCTTTTGAATGTGATGCAATGCCCTAGAAATGCGTTCCGTTTCTGCAGCAATATATATATATATATACCAGGGGTACCAAACGGGTGCCGTAGTGGGACCCCTTAGCCAAAAAACACAGTGGGACCCCTTATTTTTTTAGGTGGTTTAGAGGTAGTTTGGAGGGTTCTTGACCATGCATCTCAATTTTTGATCGCTGAGGGCCCAGGTTCACCCGCAATGGCCACACTGCAGCCTGGCCACCGGCTCATGTAGGAATGATCGACCAAAGGCATGGGCATCAGGTACAACACCTTCAAAGCTATGGAATGGTTGGCACTGAATGGCCCAAGTTAAAACAGATAGGTAATAGAGTTACTAGAGGTGCAAGGTACCCCAACACAATGTTAAGTATCATTAGAAGGAAATTCCGTCGTTGGACATCTGCCATGCCGAATTCGCAAGAGTGGCAGCAAGGATTTCAATGATGAGGCGAAGAGCCTGGTCCAACAACATATTTGGAGGGTTTCATCGGGAAAAAAACATCAACATTCATTTTTAAAAACCATGACTGTGAATAAGGATCATGGCAAAAGCGTTGATGGCCCGTATCGATGATAAATGTATTGAATGGATCCGACGATCTGGTGAGTTTTGGCCTGGCGGAGACATCCGCGTTAGTGCCAATCAGTGGCTGCGAGCAGCATTCCATGACAGCTCCCTCAAGAAAGTTCTACGTGAGAACTCTATGAGACAAGCCTTACACATTGTTGTCAACAAGAAAGGGCTTCGTCTTCAACTGAGTTGATACGAAATTGTTTACTTTTATTTCCTGGTGAGCACATGTTCCAACATCATCCCCTGCCAACAATAAGGTTTTGGAAAGTCTGCCAACAATAAGGTTATGGTATGGGACAATGCATTTTGGGAATGACAACAGCTGGGCATAATCTTTTGGAAAATGATATTTTTACCGAGCAAAAAGGGTTCATCTCCATTTCAAACCATGAGCCTGCAAGCTCGTTGGGCAAGTTACGGTAAAATCCCAAACGTAATCTGGTAAATGTTTTGGGCTAGAAATCTGAGAAAATTCCAAATCTATCCAAATCCCAAAAAAGGCGCGTGTCAAACGTGTCAGTGGCGTGTCTCGGGTGGTTCCTTGGGGGTCCCACAGTGGGACCCCTTAGGCTAAGGGGTGCCGTAGTGGGACCCCTTAAAAAGTGTCGGGGGTGCCCACCAAGTTCAGGGGGCGTGTCATTTCGTGTCGTGAAATCTCATTTTTGGTGGTTTGGTCAAAAAAAACGATCGATCTATTCTGTGGCTCCAGCGGGTTTTTTCGGGAACAACCTAGTCGATCTAGTTCCAGCCATGCCGGATGGAAAAGAGTTTGAGGCTGGCTAACCCTATTGAGTAGGGAAAACTCTGTAAGTAGTATTTGTTTATATATTATATATATATGGCTGACTATCCCTGATGTTTCATTTTCATGTGAGCATATGCACATGCTCCACTATTTATATCACAACGAACACTGATGTAATACTTGGCTGGGGGGCTATGTCGGCTACTTTACCTGGGCAGGTGAGCGCTGAGAAGATGAGGGCACTCAAAGCTCAAACTGTTCCGACAGAGGCTTTCAAAAAGTTTGAAAAGAAAAGAAAACAAGCACTTGAAGATATCGAGCAAAACAGAAAGGAAACAGCACCATGTGAGGTTAGACCATATCGTCTACGACTGTGCTCCAGAAGTTTCTCCACTGAAACTAAGCTGCTATACAGATGAGGACGCGATGGGAAAACTGAAGAAATTAGCGATGATTTCATATCCCAACCAGATGGGACGACAAGTTCTGTCACGCTACGCTGCATATACATGCGTGCGATGGCTTCGAAGACTCACAGAATAAGCTAGAGTATATACTCTAAATGTCAAAAGATGTCACTATGTATTTTTTTTATGCTGTCATTTTGTGTACTGTGAGTTTTCGGCGACTGCATTTCCAACGACTCCCGTTGGCACCTTCTGAGCCTCTTTCCAAAATGTTGAGCTGGTCCAGCCGATGCCGCCGCAGCGCAGCCAGGTGTGAACTGGTGATTGATGGAATGGGGTTATTTGATAAGATTACCAAAGAATACCTACAAATATATCTTACTATATCCAGCACATATGTTTTTAACAGTTGGCATGACCTTGGGAATAAGGGTTCCCGTAGTGGGACCCCTTAAAGATATCAACTTCCAAAAACACAGTGGGGCCCCTTTGGCGGTGCTGGTATATATAATTATATATATATATGTGTGTGTAGGTGCTGCAGAATGGCAGAATGCAGCATAGCATAATGTTAAGATATCTTAATACAAAAAGACAAAAGCGATCAAAAGAGGGCATCAGTAAAAGTAAAACGCAAAAGGAGTGCCACTACACCGGTGTGCTTCTGAAGGCAGGGGCATTGTCAATCATGATCGTGGATCTACAGTGGGGCCAAAGAGGTTTGAACATAACAGTTTAACAGATAAAGGAGTGTTTTAACAGGAAAGAAAGTTGAGAAATTAAAGTGATTAAAACATATTAAAATCATTTCAGTAAAATACATCAAGAATTAAAGCACTTCATTGAGCGCATGGTTCCTGATTTCCAGACCTGCTGCGTGTCATGTTGGTTTCTCGCAAGGAAATTTTGGATGTGAGATGCGAGGGCGCCGATGGCTTCAAATGGTCTCGAATCACCGGAGTTGTGTCGTTGCAAGGTCAAACGGCCTTCTTTGTGAGCCCGCAAACCGGACAGATTTTTGGAACTCCGTCAGAAGACCAACAGATTTGTTCACATTTTGGTGTGTCGATGTGTGTTTTGTGTTTTGTATTCACACCATTTTACACCGTTGCTTTTGGAATCTTTTGGAATCTTTTGGAATTGCTTCCATGATAAGGGTTTATATTTAGTTTTCAGTTTGTGTGAACAAGTTTTGACACAAGTTGTTTTCATAATCTGAGGAACTCCTGAAATGGAAATTCCTCAAAGACTTGGTTTGCCTTACCTCAATGTGACCTGCCACATTGCTGCCACTGCCGATGAGTATGATACCGTTTTGACCACTTCGTTTTCGATGAGGATTGAAGATGACACATGTTTCTTCTCCAAGAGGTGGTCAAGGCCGTTGTTGGCCAAAAAACGAGAGGATGCGAACACCACAGAAGACTGCCAGGTGGCTTGCCGAAAGAAAGATGACTGTGCCGCCTATACCATAGAGAATGATACTTGCTGGTTGGAAACCAGCAATTCCTCGTTTGACGACGATCTTGAAATTCTTCGTGAACCAGGCCCCAAATTCATCAATGTCAGAGCAGTGTGTGACCAACAAACCGCATGTGTGGACTTGGTGGACTCCAATGATGTGAGATTCTTGGAGGGTGAATATTGTCCCAAAGGTCGCAAATACCCACGCACAACCTGCTCGCAGTCCGTTGGATCCAGCGGGAGCTTGCCGTGTGGTGGGGCGAATCAAACAGACTCCGAGCTTGCATTTGTCATGTACACCTTAGATCCAATTTTCTCTCGGTTCGAAGGAGACTTTCTCAGTGAACAAGCACCGCACTGGTTGCGAGTGCGCTTCACTGGAAGTGAATGGCAATATGCTGCAGTGACAGGTTGGAAAAGCTTTACCCCAGAGACCAGCGATGTATTGGTGGCAAAAATGCAAAACAATGTCCTCACCCTCTTTGAGGCAGAGAACAGCTGGTATGAAGGAATTCACAAAGGCTATGCAGCAGCAGATGAAACGTTCAACATCACCATGACAAGCACGTGTGACATCACAGTGACGGGTGCTCTCATCACAGTATGGAATTGCAACCAAAGGCCATCAATCGTCTATGCTCGGGAAGGTGTGACTTTGGAAGACGAGTTTTTCATGTCCAAAGAAGCTTGTCCTTTGACCGGCCGCTACGGAGAATGGACAGTTCGTCGTTACAACAAGACCGACTTCATCAACGTTGAGACCGGTGACGTGGAGCTGCGGGGCGAGGCCACCAAGATGTACCAAGATGTAGCAAGATGTACCAAGCAAGGTATATCAAAATCCTCTCAGAGAGATCAAACATCTGTCAAAATAAAGATTATCACCGATTTTTTTGTCATTTAATTTGGTATGTCTTCAGATGCTTAAGGAGCACAATGTGCAAGTAGCACAAGGAGCATAAGCAGAATTTCAAGCTATGAGTCGATGACAATTATGGCCCTATAAAGATCTGTAAAGTATGCCAAAGTATGCCAAAGCGAAACGCTGATCGTTGCATTGTTTGCTTTGTTGTGTCTTGCAGTTTCTTGCAGATCGTTTGAGGTCCTTGCATGCTTTGCCGAAGACTTCATTCGCGGGGCCTTCCTTAGTGGACGAGACAGTACAACGGTTTGGGTAAAGGAAACCCTCACGGAAGAAGAGAAATACGCGGAGGACAGACACGGACAGACATGGTACAAGCAGTGCTTAAGAAGTTGTTTGAATCGAAGTGAATTTTTGCCCAGAGTTTACCCAGCTCGGCTAGTAGAGATGTAATTATTCTGCCAGTCAGCGTTCTTTTCACATCTTTCACAGCTTTGCAGGGAAAGAATACCATGTAGCATGCCATTTGCAGCAACATGGTAAACTCATGTAAACTTAAACTATTGTAAACTTAAGACGTGTTTGAAGGGCAACTTGTTCTTCAAATCGTTCGACATGCATGTTGACCTTTCATGACATTTGGTCATGGCAGGACAAGGAGAAGAACGAGAACAACTCGTTGTACATGTTTGCATCGCTGGTGGCTCAGGTTCTCGCCTAAGATGGTTCAGGCCAATCTGCAACATCAGAAATGCAACAGATATCCCCGTGGCAATTTCCACTCTAGAACTGGTGAACCTGTGCATAGTTTAAACGAAATTCTTAATGTGTTGGAATTTTAAAATTGATGTCAGGCTAGTCATTTTATTGTTGGGGGGTTGGGCTAAGCATTTTATTGTAAAGGTAAGTCCTGATGATTTTTAACATGTTAAAATTCCATTCTCATTTTATTGCAAAAAAATGTTTGCTTGGAGCATTTTATTGCAGAATGGAACCAGTGTTTTTCCAGGATCTTTTTATATCAATTTTATTGGGCATGTCATTTTAGATCAGTGAATTTTAAGGATTTTGAAGGAATTCTAAGGAATATTAAGGAGTTTTAAAGGAATTATAAGGAATATTTAAGGAAATTTAAGGAATTTAGAGAGTTTTAAGGAATTTTAAGGAACCTTAGAGGAATTTTAAGGAATTTAAAGGAATTTGACGGAATTTGAAGGAATTCGGAGGATTTTTAAGGATCTTGAATGTTTTTAAATTTTAAAGGATATTTAAGGATTTTAAGGAGTTTTTTGGAATTTTAAGGAATCTAAAGGAATTTTAAGGAATTGCCACGAAAGAATGCCGCCGTATTTTGTTGCTATAGAATGCTATTTTAAAAAACACACTAAATATTTGGGCACCTTCACTCTAAAATACCCCTATCTAAAATGGATTTCCTGACCTCTTTTTAAAGATGCGTTTCTGAGGGTCTTCAAAATTGGATGAAATTGGATGATGATGGATGCACATTCAAGCATGAATTTGGTGGCAAGCCATTTTATTGCAGAGCCAGTTTTCATTGTTTTTGTGCATTTTGAAGCCTGAGGCCTATGCACAAAAGTTAGACCGCTCTAAAACTCCTGCACAGCTTCACATAATGAATTGGCACCCCGATCAACAGATCACATATGAAAAACATGGACGCATTATGAAAAATGGGCCGTCGGGCCGAGGAATGTCCAGTGCCTTTCTCGCAAGAAACCGAGGATCAGGCCAGTCTTGTCACGAAAGTCAGCGGTAGCTGCGGTAGCTAGCTGGAGTTGCTTTTGCTTTTGATGGTGTTGGGGTTTGGGGGCCTTGCCTAGCCAAGTGCGTCGGCTAGTACGGTAGGCCCCTTTTCATCAAATACACCCCCCCTGCCCCCTAAGTTCAATGTTTATGTCAACTGAAGACCAAAGAAATCAAACTCCTGTAGCGCCACACTTGGTAGCACGCACAGTGAAACATTGAGATTTTGGGGGTGGGTCATCATGAAGTGCATTGCAAGGTTTTGGATATTTTGCCCATCTAGTGTAGGTCTACCGCTTCTGGGTGCTGCAGCCCAAATGCAGAGTTTCGCTGTCCTCCAAGACCCCCTTGCTTGATCTTGCTTGCCTTCTGTGCTCCTCCCCTCTTCCCCCTTCTTCCATCCCCACTCTGAGAGAACTGGAAGAACTCTAGCAACACTCTGTGTGGAACAGGACAAGTATCTTTTTTCGACCACAACTTACAATGTTTGCAGGCTACCATGGTGCACACCTTGACATCCCTTAGTTTTGTTCCACCTTAATGTATCGTTCAGGCTGTCACAACCGTGACTTGATGACGTAGCTTTCATCTGCCCCTCCGGGCCTCAAGTTGACTCAAGATGGCCCTGTTGTGCTTGCGGTTGCTCGCTTTGTAGGTTGTGACTGTGTGATTCCTGGATCAGGACGCCAAACAGCAAGAGGACAACGAAGAGCAACCACCAGATCCGAAGTACTTGGTTGGAAAACTGGAGGAGACAATCACAGACGCTGCAGCGGAAAGAGAATGAAAGAAAAGTAGATACCGCAAGTGGTTCGAGATGTTCGAGATGTTTTCCATGGCTCTCCGCATTCTTACAGCAAGTCTTGCAGAGTCTTTTTATATGTAACAATAATATAATGAATATAATTTAATCATCAAATAAAATTGCTGCTGCATAATGTTGTTTCATCAGAGTTCCAAAGCCACCTCTGATTCTCAGTTTCGAATGTTTCGAAGGATCCTGGTTTCTACAGTTTGGAAGCCTGTGAATGCTTTGGTCGGGACCATCGTGATGTGGAGCCAGTGACAGAGGATGCAGCTGGCCTCGTGCCAGATGCGCCAACTTCCAGCTACAACCATTTTGGTCCGCCTCCAGTGTTGCTCTTTGAAGGTCCATATGTTCCTGGTCAATAGATTTTGACAGGTTTGAAAACTCTGCTGTTTTCCCTTAAACTTCTTAAACCCACACCATTCGTCCATCATGTTATTTCCATGCGCATCACTTTGCCACTGCTAAAACTACATGCCACATCATGCCACATCATACAACATCATGCAACAATGTCAATGATAAGAATTACCTGCAAAACATGCGCGCATTTGTTCACCAAGGTGTGCGATGCTGATGCTCACATCACCGAGGGCAACAAGCAGGACCTTGATGAGGATGGTTGTAGATCGGCATGTTTGGCTACCCAAGAATGCAAGTTCTTTCTTCACACTTCCCAGCTCAAGCAATGCGAGCTTTTGAAGAAGTGCGAAAGAATCGGTGCCACAGGCAGGGGCTGGAAACCTCGGCATAATTTGTGTTTAATTTGGGAAACCGTGCGAGACCAACTAGATCTTTAATGATCTTTAGACTTGTCAAGAGCAAGTCGATGGAAAGGGTTCCCAGACCGGTCTCAGGTAAATGGTGGACAGGATTCAACGCCCAAAGTTGCAGTTTGATTGATCTAACATTAGAAACGCTTAAAGGGTTACAACGAAGAAAACAGTGCATTTGATTAGAACCCAATAAATTATGAAGCAAAAGAGACAAAACAATGCGAATGAATAACAAAGATAAAAAGCACAAGAAAGAAACAACGTCTGTGCTGAAGGATGTTTGACGGTATGTGTTTTCTTTCGGTATTTGTTTCGATTAAGTCTAAAAGGGTGTCCTGCACGCATGGTCTCGGTATGTCTCCGTCAGCTTGAGCAAACGGAACTGGATGCGATTGGTGCAGAGCACGAAGCAAACTCACAGAATTCTTCCGTGTGGCTTTCGTCTTTTGTTTGTCTTCTGCCTACAAAACATTCGTTGATTATTGATGATTTGCTTAGATGTTTTTCCTGACATTTGACCTGACTTAGCTTGCATTTGTTCAAGCTTCCGCGGGGTGCCTGCAGGTCTTGATATTATGCACAAACTTTATGGAGTCCTGCGATCATCTGACTTTGTGCTTCTTGGCGCCAATACCAAGATGGGGGTCTGGGGGGAAACATTCATTTCGAGATGGGAAAGTGATAGAAAGTCGAAAGTAACAAGGTGCACCAGGGAGGCATGGCGAAGGAGTCACGCCGAGCAATGTGTGAATTTCCAACTGATCTCTCGCTCTCTCCCTTTCTCCCCTTTCTCGCTCCTCTGGACCTTTCGTGAACGATTTCACCATTTCAGGGATGTCTCATGATGTCTCTGCGAACTCGCCATTGTCCCATTGATTCCCATTGTCCCATAGGCCAACACCTGGTGAGTACTGCGTCATTGCCGACCCTGAGGCAGGGGCGCTAGAGTCAAGAGACACCCAGGAGTCGCAAAATGAAAGAAATGAAACGAAATGAAATCAACATACGACATCATGCGACTAACTGATACAGTCTTGCTATCCCACCAGACAATGATGGTTCAGAATAGGAAGCTTCGACTTCCTGGAAAGAGATTTATATGAAGAGTTTGTGTGAACTATCATTTGATTGTGTTTAATTGTCTAGATCGGACATATTGGCAGGCCTTCTGCGTGGCAGCTACTGTAGAAAACCATTTATACTCACGGTTACCCATGTTTTCCCAATTTTGTGTCCAGACGTTTTCCGGAGAAAATTCCATGGTCCCTCAGCAGTGCCAGGATTGTTTAAGAAAATTGTTGCAATTCGTTGCAGCATGTTGCAGCATCAGCCAAAATTTGAAGGGCCCAGGTCTTGAGTGACAAAGATTGTTCCATATTGTTCCAACACACTCATGTTGAAGACATTCAGCAATATCAGCAATGTGCATGAGGAAGATAGTCCCCACAACATAGGTGTTACCCCATTCACCTCGAATTCATGAGATTTATGTGGCAGTTTCATCCACCAGATGTTTCCTGTGGAGGGGTTTGGGCTGCGCCCGTGCAAGCTTGGATATTCACGCTATACCACCACTTGCCGCTGTCATTGTACAGCAGACATCCAGCTGTTTCCTGATGAGTATCTCAAAATCTTCTCATTTTTGTGCACTTATGTGAGACTTAATATGCACACACTGCATTCTATCTTGCCGGCCTGAACCACTAGGCCACTAGGCCTAGGGATGGTTTGCCTACAGCCTCTGTAGATAGACTGCTGATGGCGCTAGCCAAACAGCTAGATGGCTGGGCGGTGGCTGATAATGGCAAAGTTATTCTGTATCAATTATTTATAGCAATTTATATACATATATATATGGCTGTGAGTCAAAATATAAAGCCCCGATCCATACCCTGAACCCACACGCCGATCCATACCCCCGATCCATACCAAAACGCAGGTGATCCAGACCGTTCCATACGTCTGGATCACCGCGGGCCGATCCATACCCGAATTTTGACGCAACCCCATATGTATAATATACAATATATATATATACTATATATAATATATATATATAAGTTCATCAATTGCACAGACTCCGCACATCCTCTCCTGCAACCACCTCTCTTCTATAATCTGTGCCATCAATCGCGTGCCCCGCATTGTGCATGGCCCGAACTGTTCGATGTTTTTCAGTGCCTGTGAAAAACTAGTACAGCGACGCAACAAAGTCTTTCTCAATCTTTCTCATTCTTCCCAACGAGGCTTGTTGGACACAGAAGTACCGGAGAGAGCTAGTGGAATCCCGTTTGGCCGTTCCGTTGGCAGCAAAGAAAGGGAACACGTCAGGGGAACCGGTTAAGATTCAGTTGAGATGAATCAGGAATTGCGCTTCAAAGAACACATTCCAAAGCGTCCATCTCAGGGATTGTCCAATTCGGGACAACAGTTTTACCGTAACCTTCCCGTGATTTGGTTGATTCTGTCTCAATCTACATCTTAGGTGTCCTCATTGATCATCATTCGCCATCCGTCATCACTTGTGTGAGTTTGAGGTCTTTTGGATCCTTACACCATGGTCCTCACGTGTGGCTTTTGGTTCAAACCTACCCTGACTTAGGGCCCTTGAGCTGTTGGTTGCAAAAACGGTCCCTAGCGCAATTCAAACTGGTAGCGGAGCTGGTTGCCGGAGAGTTCGCTCCCGACATCCGGACTCTCACGGTGATAGCCTAGGTCCAAACCTGTGTGTGTGTGTGTGTGTGTAAGTGTGTAACGTAGAAACAACCTGAAGAATCGTCGAAATCATCGAACGCTATGTCGATGGCCGGCCTGAGGTACTGCAAGCAGTCCTACAGGACCATTGGAGACAAAGAGTGGAGCCTACGTGTATAGTGGAGATCCATCCCACTTTCACGAATGGCAATTTAGAACCCTTCTTCGTGTAGAACTCTGCAAGAAGAAGATGGAACAGAAGGCCAAGGAAAAGGCCAAGGAAGCATCCAGTTCCCCGGTCAGCCTTGCTAGCAGTGGCCGGAGGAGACGCGAGCCGACAGATGCGGCTGAGCAAGGGGATGCTGAAGAAACTGCTGCTGAAGTGTCGCCCCAGGCCCCTTCAGGTGAGCATTCAGCTGGACTTGGTGGTTTTGCTTCACCCCGTAGTCAAGAGGAGCACGATCTGTTGGACGTGTCCCCATATGTGGAGCTTGTCACTAACGTCATGGAAGGGCTCAGAGGTGATGCATTTCTGATGGCAAAAGACTTGGGTCTGAACGCACTGATGGATGTTGGCCCTCCTACCGGACTGGAATTGCTGGTGGAGAGAATCAAGGAGCATGTGTTCTCTTTGAGGTCACATGAGGCAAGGGAGCTTTTCAGGCTTGGTCAACAGGCAAATGGCCCCCTCAGTCGACAGTCTGCAGAGACGATCTTGTCCTTCATTGGAAGGAGGAAACGATGGTGGATTCAGCTTAAGGAGCTCGACCCAGAGATGGCAATTTCCACCCAGATGCGAGCTGAACTTCTCCTTGAAACATCAGGCCTAAGCCGTCAGGAACAACTCATGGTCAAGATTGCCTGCCCAAAGCCCAGCTTTGAGGGATACAGCGAGATCTTGTTGGAACACCATGGAAGGATCCACTTGAGGGATTCGAGGAATTTGGCCCCTCCTTCAAGGCCCTTTCAATCGAAAGGAGCAGGAAAGAACAAAGGAAAGGGGTGGTATCGATCAGGCTACATTGCAGGTGAGTACGATGGCCATGAAGTGATGAAGCAGCAGATGATGGAGACAACTATGACTGGAATGAGGACTACGACAATGGAGCCTATGTTGGGTATGGTGATGAGCCCAGTACAGAGGACCCAGATGATTGTGACTGGGTGTCAGATGAAGATCTTGGCATTGCTCTGACAGCTATGGCTGCCTGCGACATGGACGAGACCTCAACAGAGGGTCTTGAGGAACTTGGAGAGGCATGCCAACATCAGTTGCAGGCCTACGCTGCTGTAGGACGTGCCAAGGGAAAAGGACCCTTCAAGGGATCAGGAAAAGGAAAAGACAAAGGCAAGGGGAAGGGCAAGAGGGTTGTGAGAACCCAATTGTCCATCCAAGACAGAAAAGTCAGACTTGCCAGTCTGAAGAAGAACAGTCGATGCCTACGATGTGGAGGCTATGGACACTGGGCAGGTGACCCAGAATGCAAAATGCCAAACAAGAAGCCGAATGCCACTGCATCGGTCCCAGGTCAAGTGCCGAGCCAAGGAAAGGTTGGCTATCTTGCCCTGAGTGATTCCTCAGGAGATGATGATGACTTGCCTTGTGTGGTCATTGGAGCAGGGAACAGAAAGAAGTCGTGTGGGTATATGGGTTAAAGAACCCCACAGGGATCCCCAGCTAAGGCCAAAGCTAGATCCCCCTTACGACCTTCTCCTGTTTCCAGTGATGGCAGTTTTTCCCATGTGTCCCATGCATCCTATGCCTCAGGTCCACGTGTTCCTAGGATGCCTGCCTTTCGTGCCAAGCGAGAGAACCCAATGGATGACATGACCCTTCCACCAGGGAGCGACCATGTCTTTACGTTTGGGCAGCACAAGGGGTACACATACCATGAGGTGCTGATGCAATACCCTGGGTACTATGTTTGGGGTCGCAATGAACCAGGAACGTCAAGAATCCTGAACCAGTTCTTGGATTGGGTTGATATGCACTATGATGTTGACCAAGGAACCCATCAAGTAACCCCAAAAGTGGCCCCAGAAGAAGTGCAACAACGACCCAGCCCTGTGCCGGGATCGAAGCACAAGACTGCAGCAAGGAAACCTCCAAACCCCCAATTGAAATTCCAGGTCACGTTTGCTGGGATTTCATGAAGTGGGGAACCAATGCATACGTTGAGAAAAAGACATGTAGGGATTGTGGAAAAGTCACAATTACCACAAAGAATCCAACATACACCCAAGACCCTGAGACATTCACCCATGCAGTCACTGACAAAAGGGGATCGACCAAGAGCACCAGCAGAACGTTTTGTCTGCTGTGTGGAACCCATGTGGACGAAATGCCACGTGATGAGGGAAAGCGCAGGGAAGCCTTGGGAAGGGCTGTGAGTCAGTCTGCTGCACCCTTGGTAGACCTGGCAGAAGATCTGTTGAAGTATGAAAGGTTGGAACTCCTTTTGAGTACTGAGGACTCAGTGGCTGTAATGCACCAATTTCAACATGACTGTGAAATTGAGTTGGAACATGACCAAACCATGCGTGCCAGTGTCATGATCGACATCTTGCGCAACGCAATTGAGGCCGTGATGGAAGCCAGAGAGACGACCCATGTGGGATACATGTCACTATCCCCTTTGGAGGACGAGCTGGAATGCAATGCACTTCCAGTGGTTGATGTTCTTAACGATGAACATGTCTGGGGAGTGTTGGACGAGGGTTGCAACTCAACTGTTTGTGGACATGATTGGATGGAATCATGCAGAGCCAAGTTGAAGAACATTGGTTTTGATGCCCCCGTGCAGTCAGATGAACAGAAGGCATTCAAAGGTCTTGCAGGCAATGTGCGCACCAAAGGTCGATACAGAATCCCATTTGCGTTGGAACCTGAAGGTGGTAGGAAGTTGCCAGGTGTTTTGGAAACGTATGTGGTTGGGGAGCCTGGTGATCCCACACCCTTGTTGCTGTCACAGCATGCTCAAGCAGCATTGGGTTTGGTGAAGGACATGGCAACATCCACATGCGCACTTGGTAGGAATGGACCCACCTTGAAGCTGCACAGAACCAAGGATTCAGGACTTTTGTGTGTTTGCCTGAGCAAGGGGTTGATCAACATGTCGTTCAAACAAACTCCAACGCAGATCAGGGAGTTGAGAACCCCTGACAACATGGCATATGTCAGCACCACTCCTCGCACCACGGCCCCTTCTGGACAGCAAGTGCTGATCTATACTGCAGGGAAGGACTTTTGCCCTCCTTTGGACGCTTACTGCAATGACCCAACATCGCGCAGCTTGGAGAGACTCTGCCAGAACTTTGGTCTGGGTGACAGGGAAGTCTTTGTGGTCGACGCCCTGGAGCTTGGAGACCCTCACCATGACAAGAGTTTGAGGAGTCACATTGGGACTCACCCTGACATCTTGGCAGGGCTTGTGCGCAATGATTGGACGATGCAAATCATGCACGCCTTGGTGAGGCGAGTGAAGCAAGCAGTTGATGACAACAAGTCAGTTGCAGTGATATGTTACTGCAGGAGGAATCGGCACAGGAGTGTGGCCCTGGGCTGGTTGGTTTCATGCGCCTTGGAGTTCTTGAAGATCAGTTGCGGTCTGACACATGCAAATGCTCGAACCAGTTGGGCTCAGATGTCAGGTGGATGTCGTGGCAGATGTGATCACTGCCAGCATGTCAACACAGATGCCAAGACCGAGGCAGAGGATCATGCAGGGAAGCTGTGCGACATGGCTCGTTGTGAGATGAGCGAGGAAGACATGGATCTGCTGGATGAAGTCTGTGAGGTGAGGGGTATTGGATTGGCACCAGTACCAAAGGCAGCACCCACAGCACCAGCACCGAGGGCACCAAGGTCCAGAGCAAGCCCTCCAGTGCCTACTGAGCCATCGAGAGCATCTTCAGCAAGCGCTGCAGCACGACCTGACCCTGCAACACGACCACCACCGAGAACACCACCAAGAAGACCATCACCGAGGAGAAGGACGCCAACACCACCGAGACGGTCAAGATCTCCAGCCAGAGATGGACAACAGACAGAGGCCTTGATTGCAAGGATCAGTGAGCTGACGTCAGTGGTGTCTCAGCTGGTAGCTGAGAGGGATCAGGCACGAGCTTCAGCTTCTTCGACCTACAGGAGCCGACGAAGCAGAAGCGACTCCCGGGATTCAAGACGACGAGGTCGATCAAGGTCCCCAAGGGAGAGCCGATTTGGAGAAGCGCCTTGGCGTCGAGAGGTGTCATACCGACGACCAAGGACGCCACCGAGACCACCTCCAAGCCCATCACCACTTCCTCGTCGACGACCTCCAGCAAGACCAATGAGCGTAGAATCAGTGATGGCTGGTTGGCCAAGTCATTTGGACTTGCCTGCAAGGGAGGATGATGGCACCTCCTGGAACAAGAGAGTCGATGCCCACGGTCTTTCTGTGGAGCTGTTGGATGCCATGTGGTATGCAGCTGCTGTGGACCACCAGAGTGGCTACAAGCAGAAGTGCCTATGTTGGACTGGCCGTACTTTCCAGGCACAACAGCTGAAGAAAGGAAGGTGCAGACCGTGGAACAGAACAACATGGCTGCGAACGTGAAGGTCGCAGTGCTCGGACCAGACTACATTGGGCTGTGCTTGCAAGAGAAAACACCCATTGGAAAGGGTATCAGAAAGTCTTGGGCTTCACCTGCAATGAGGGTTCATGAATGGAGTGTCACCATTTATGACTACATCGACAGAAGTTGGACGGTCGATGGAACATACCCAGTGGAGACAGAGCTGGAGTATCAACATGAGTCCACTGGGAGGATCTTGGTGTATGCTCCCACAAGGGAAGCTGAGGGAACACCTCCTGATGACCCTGGTGATGCAGGAGACAATGGAAATGGAGACAATGGAGACAATGCAGATGACAACAACGAAGGTGATGGCCATGAAGATGGACATGAGGAACAGAAGGAAGACGATGTCGAAGAGATCACAGACGAAAGTACGCACCTTGCTCTGGCAGGTGATGACGGTGGAGTGGAAACCATGGATACCCAAGAAACCATGGATGTGATTGAAGAAGTTCCCACAGCACATGCTGCCGTAACTGCCCCAAAAGAAGAAATCCCTGAACAGAAAACCCCTGAACTTAAGGCTTTGGCAGTAGTAGAAGGTACCCCTGAAAAACTTGCAATGCCTCACTTTGCCAAGGCCTTGACGATGCATCCAAGCAAATACATCGACCTCAACAGCGACGACGACAATGATCCAAGTGGAACTACTGGGTCAGAAGCGGTTGCGACTGCAGTGAAGCTAGAGGTGAAAACAGAGCATAACCCATGTGCGCTGTTGGGAGCCTTGATGTCCAGTGAGTCAAGAGTAATGGACAAAAGGGACACAAGTGTGGTAACCTCAGGGTTGAAAATCATGCAACATGAAGATGAAGTCATGAAAGCTATGGTAGGGATATCCCACTTGCAAGAATCGGTTCACATGTTGGTTTTGAAAGATTCCACAGTCAATCTGTCCAGTTGGAACGATGTGCATGTCATGACAGTTGACCCAAATTGGGAAGACACGTGCAAGAAGCTTGCAGCTAGGGTCTCAGCCCAGAGCCCTGGACTGGTTGCAGTGCACATGGAAAATCCCACTTGGAAACAGATCCAAGATGTCCATTGTGAAGCTGACATGAATCAATGCACGGTTGTGGTCCTCACCCCATACCTCGAGAACCTGGTTGACAAGGGTTACTGCTTTGGGGGTGATTTGTGCCTGTTTGTTGCAGGAGACCGCAACGATGCACTGTTCAGGCTGGCAGTGGATTGGAACGAGGGTCAAGAGAGCATGACTCCAAGGACGTTCCAAGATGCATGTGGTATGGAGTTTCATGAGCTGTTGAAAGGTCATTCAGAGAAGCTTTACCTAGATAGGTACGCACAGACATGTTTTGTTGGTGAAGCAATGGATGAGTTGTCTGGATCGGACGACCAGATGCTGAATGATCCTGACAAACCTCTGACTCCAGCAGAGAACGAGCAACTCATTCTGGATCAACTTGCAATCCCTGGAGCCCCTTTGGATGAGGTCCAGAGGAGAGCGCATTGGAGAGCACTGCCCACACGAACTAGGATTGCCATCCGACGTTTGCGCAGGCAATTTGGCCATCCAACACCTGCTACCTTGAAGAACATCCTGAAGGCAGGAAGGGCATCTCCTGAGCTGATTGAGGCAGCTCGATTGGTGAGGTGCCAAGCATGTGAGGACTCTGCAAAACCCCCAAGAGACCATCCAGTTGGGAGTCATATCAATTTTGAGTTTAACTCTATGTTGGGCTTTGACGTACTGGAAATGAGGGATCATTTGGGGAACAAGTACTCAGTGATGTCGATGGTTGACATTGCAACGGGTTTCCACATGTGCGAAGTTGTCAAGGAAGGTGGAGGACAGCCTACTCAGAGGCATGTGCCAAGGCATTGATGACCAAGTGGATTGCTTGGGCTGGCTGGCCAAAGGCATGCATCATGGATCGAGGCCTTCACAACCGAGGCACAGTGACCAAGATGCTAGCCAGTCATGGGTGCAATATTGAATTTGCCCCTTTGGAAACCCCAGCAGCAATAGGAAAGGTAGAACGTCATGGGGGTATCCTAAAAGCAATGGTCAGAAAAGTGGTTGCTGATACTGAAACAGCAGGACTTGCAGACTTTGAGATGTTGCTGCAAGAATGCACATCCACAAAGAACAGCATGCAAAGAACAAATGGTTACAGTGCAAGTCAATGGGTTTTAGGAAAACAACCACGCATGCCGGGCTCAGTCACAGACATGTCAGAGAGCGCTGACTTAGGTGTGATTGAAGCGAAAACAGATCCAACAGTGGCGTACCACAGGGTACACGCCGCAAGAATGAGTGCACAGAGAGCTTTTGTTCACTTAGACACGAGCAACAGGGTTGCACATGCGCTGACACGCAATGCAGCGCCCCAGCACAAGGAATATGCAGTTGGTGATTTGGTTTGTTACAGGAGGGACGCACAACAAGGTGGCACAACATGGAGCACAGCATCCCGTGTGATTGGCCATGACTCCCACAATGGGTTGTGGTTGTTACACGAGGGGGTTCCAATTTTGTGCAGCACATCACGCGTGAGGTCTGCCAATGAGAGCGAGGCCCTGGCTTTCTCCATCTTGAATGGGGAACCTGTGCTGCCAGACGCTATTGTGTCAGGCCCTCAACAACAGAAGTACATCCATCTTGAAGATGAACAACAAGGACCAAAGTTCCCAAACCCAGTTGGGATCTTTGATGATGATGAAGATGCCCCTCAGGGGAGCAGTGCGCCGTCAAGAGCCCCAGCAACACCAGGGAGACGGTTGAAGGCGAAAGATAAGACGGGCCAATCTGAACGACCTGGCCCGTACACAAGAGCCGCTCCAATGACTCCTGGTGCACTGCCTGGTGACACGATGATGGCTGAGCTAGTGGATGGAGACCACGCGCATTTCAAAAGATGTGGCAATCAGAGTCCATACAGAACCCAGGAAACGAGAGTACAACACGATGGTTGATGGTGAACTGCCAGAAGGTTTTCCGGACTCAGGTTTTGCAACAGTAAGAAAGATCTTCAGGAATGGGGATGTAAAAACAAACGAAACGGGTAAAGTAAGTAACGTAGAAGAAACAGACGCTTGGACCGGTTTCACCGTGTTTCGAAGGGCACAAGACCCATTCGAACGCGCGCGAGCCATGGATCTGGAACTGGACTTGGAACCTCTGAGGTCCTTCATTGCACAGCGCATTGTGGAGGCCGAGGAGACAGTTCAATCTGGGAAGGTGGCCAAGACAGTGGACATCAGAAAGGTCTCACCAGAGATCAAAGCCTTGATGATGGAAGCCCGAACTGCAGAATGGGAGAAGTACAAGAGCTTCAACGCTGCAATTCCCATTTGGGGAAAGGAGCTTCAGAATCTGCTGGATGAAGGTCACAAAGTAATTCCATCTAAATGGGTTGAAACGGATAAACATGAACACCTTAAGGGAACCCCAGAATATAGTCCCAAGATGAAAGCTCGACTGGTGATTTGTGGTAACTTCGAAGATGTCAGTCGCGAAGATGTGAGGTGCGATGCTCCGACAGCAGATGCGGAGTCCCATTGCCTCCTGGCGAGTTGGGCAGCTTCGGAGAGGTTGCGTCTGAAGGGAAGTGACGTGACAAATGCGTATTTTCAAGCAAAGCCACTGACAAGGTTGCTACTGATGCGGCAGCCGACAGGTGGACTTGGAGACCCAGATGTGCCTGCAGAAGCGTGTTTGCTCTGTACGTTGCCCATCTATGGTTCAATCGATGCAGGTAGAGGTTTCTACTTGCGCATGGATTCAGAAGTGAAGACAGCAGGTATGAAGGCGTCAAAGGTGATGCCTGCCCTGTACTATCATCAGGACGAAAACGGCGAACTGGATGCCATACTATGCACCCACGTGGATGATTTACTGTTTGCCCACAAGCCAAGTGGAGCAAAGGTGATCCAGGAGATCCTTGGAAAGTTCTCGGTCGGAAAGACTGAAGAAGGAAGCTTCAGGTACTGTGGACGTCGGTTTACCCAGCACGATGATTTCACGATTGAAATCGATGCTGAGGAGAACACCAGAGGAATCAAGCCAATTTTGATTGACAAGTCCCGTAAGGGAACTGACGTTGTCACGGAAAAGGAGCTGACAAGTCTCCGGTCAGTGACGGGATCACTGGCGTGGGTAGCACGGTACTGTCGTGCAGACTTAGCGTACAAGGTGAATGAGCTGCAGAGACTTTGCAATCCAAAGGCCACGGTGTCAGACTTGAGGCTGGCAAACAAGGCTGTTGAACTGGCGCACCAGAATCAGAACATGAAGCTGGTGTAAAAGGCCGATTGGATTGACTGGAAGGATCTTGCAGTGGTGACGTACAGCGATGCGTCATTTGCAAATGAGCCTGGATACAAGTCGCAGCAGGGCAGAATCCACTATCTGTCTACCGCTTCGCGTTTGACGGAAAAGGACCATAGCATCCATGTGATCGGGTTCGCTTCCTCAACATTGAAGCGAGTGTGCAGAGCAACTTTACAAGCTGAGTCATGCGCACTTCAGAGTGCAGTGGAGCACGGTGACCGCTTGAGATGTGTCCTGTGTGAAATGACCGGCAAGTTGGCCACGATGACAGACTGGCATGAACAATGTCAGATGAAGATGAAACACGTTTGGGTGTCTGACTGCATGAGCTTGGTCGAACACCTGAATGCAGAAGTGCCCAAGAAAGCCCAAGATAAGAGACTTGGAATTGAACTTGCGGCACTGAGGCAGTCCTTGTGGACCGGGAATGGCCAGAAGAGCTGCCAGGAGTATGCGCCCTGCGCGGACGAGCTGTGGTGGATTGAGACCGCCAAAATGCTAGCCGACGCTCTGACAAAGTCAATGCGTCCGGACTTGCTGGTAAGAGTTGTACAGACTGGCCGTAATTCAATGGCATGAACACATCTACAGATGCGTGGCCTGAGCCATCAGCAGGAATAGCCCGCTGGAAACTTGTAAAGACCAGGTAGCCTGAACTGCCACGAGAGGACATGTAGATAAGACGGGTGTGAGTTTGAGGTCTTTTGGATCCTTACACCATGGTCCTCACGTGTGGCTTTTGGTTCAAACCTACCCTGACTTAGGGCCCTTGAGCTGTTGGTTGCAAAAACGGTCCCTAGCGCAATTCAAACTTGTCATCTCTCATCAAGTCATCCGTATGTATCACTTGTATTCAAGTGTATCAGTGTATCATGTGTATCAGAATTTGTATCACTTGCAATCACTCTTGCAATCACTCTTGCAATCACTTGCAATCACTTAGGTTGATGAAGGTGATCCCAATGTTTGCGCCTTCGCGTCGATCTTGGGCCAATGTGATGCTCTTCACATGCTCCAGACCGAGCGTCAGGGCGATTGCTCCAGGTGCACCTACTTCAGCATGGAATCCGAGGCTGTGGACGGCAAAACTAGACCAATTTAGACCACCATCATGCGATGGATGAGATGGATATCATTAGATGATCTAATATATTCTAATATGATCTAATATTATCTAACTAGATGTGCATTTTGTAGTATATAGTTTGTCATACTTTACAACATCTTATGATTTTCTGCCATGTGTTTTTATAGATGTCTATTCAGGGCTCGTGCCAGAGGAAACACGGACGTGTTTCGTTATGTCAATGGCCTGTGGCTTGCAGCGGTTAGTGGACAAGATATCGAACAAAGTGAACGATTCTGTCTCTCAAAGATTACAAACCCAAAGGACATCTCAAATGGACGATTCTAGTTCCTTTAACTCGTGCGATCTCTTTCTCTGGCAGGCTGCGCGAGGAAGGCGCAAGCTCCCAATGCCTGAAACATTCCCAGCAGCAACACAGATCTCAGTCTCTTGCAGATCAACAGCCAGGCTATTGAGCGTTGCTTGGAGGCAAATGGAGTCAAATGGCGATCAAAACCATGCATTGATATGTTTAAGTCACAAGTCTATCTACCGTGTGTATGTATATATTATATATATATATATATCATATATTTGTAAGATTTTGTAAGTGTTTATTCTATGTATGAGAAATAATTGCGTGTCTCGATGTATGTGTGGGTGTATTGGTCCCGTAAGATGTCATCATTGACTTAGTCATTGTATTCAATTTGTAGCGCCCCAAGAAAAGCAGAGACATCACATTATGAGAAAGTTTGATACCCCACATTCTGAGCAATCACGCGCTTCTTTGTGGCTCACTCAATCAATCATATCCATTGTGCAAGATGTCAAGCACCAATTTCCAAAGTGTCCCATCATCAGTCGGAAATTCATCAGTTTGTTTGTTTTCCCCAGCGTCAAGTTCAGTCCAGGGGTTCCCCTTTCAGCGACAATATCGGAACTTACTAAGACTTGAGTTTGGGTGGTAGATGGAAGATGGAGGAAGATGGAGGAATTGGATGAATATGAAACCGTTCTCAAACATCATTATGCGAATAGTATTTGAAGAGGTTGGTTCGAGATTTCAGATCTTGAGTTGAAAGTCTTTGATAGTCAAAAGCGGCGGCAGTATCATGTCATGTGTGTTCTTTTCTGACATGTGGCAACTTGATATGAATATGCAGATATACGCAGCTTGAAATTTAATTCGCATGATTCGCAGAGCCTATATTTGGGACATACTATGACATACTGGGGTTTTGCCTGCGAAATCGTGTGAAGCAAGGTCACGACTCGAGAGATTGTCCCAAGTGGTGTGTTGAGTTGCGTGGACGGAGCATGGAGAAATCCGGGGGGCGACGTTGGCTTGTCCAAGTGGAAATGTGTGGATTGCGTGCAAATCTCGCAGGAAGGTTACACAGCCAGGCTGGAGCGATCAATGCCGGAGGTTTATTTCATTGAGAGACGGCAACTTGGATCAACTTGGCGCTCAACTTCTTACGACATTGACAGACTCGTTTGTAAACTCAATCAGTGGCATCACATCGTGCATCAAATCTCACAAGTAAGTGCGCATGTTGTGTCGAGCTCTGTTTGAAAATCTTGAGCGAAAGTATGTCACTGTTGCACCCAGCCTTCAATTCTGACCCTTCCTGTTGAAAATGCTGAACATGCAGATATTCCAAGCGACCGCCGAAACCATGACGCAGACACGGCTGTAAACTTTTGCCCAAAGGGACAGCAAAAATTGAAAAGAACGCTTGGAAGTTTGGGTTGCAGCTTTGGCGTTTACAATACCAGAAATTATAATGTGAAAATATCAGAAACTTTTTCTGAAATACATGAAGATTGATGCAGGTTTGAAGCTTAATCGCGCCATCCTCCAGGCAACTCATGCGACAAGATGCGACAAGCACAAACCGTACTGGGCTCGTAGCTGAGGAAAATTCAATACCACTACGGGTACTTCAGCTCTGGATGCTTCGTAGCTTCAGAAGGCACGGCATCACCTTTGCGCAACGAAGAGTCCGAGACCTGCCTGTACATCGAAGCTGGGACGCTGGTGAATAGCAAGGCATGCACAGACCAGTGGTACTTGGACCAGGGGGGTCGCATGGTCTCAGCAGGGCCAAACATGCTTTGCTTCGAGGTGGCTCAAAATCTACACGGTTTCACGGACAACCGGTGGTACCTGGACCTTGTGAGTTGCAGCCAACAGGATAATGATCCTGTCAGCAAACAGATTTTCCACATCAACAACCTGGGCCATTTGCGCAACGCCAAGTTAGATGCGGAGAACTTGAATGTGTGCCTGAAGATCCCAGACAATACTACTGAACCATATCCGGTCTTTGTAGACTGTGGCGACTCATTCTTCTTCAGGGCAGAGATTGCCTGGTACTTTGATGGAGGTGACTGTCAATTCAACCAGTATGTCAGGAACATGTATTCTCCTCTTCAGTGGATTCTTGAATTCCAAATTTTAGACTTTAAGATACTTTAAGCAAGTACCTGTGCTTTGAGAATTGTTCAGAAGGATGTTTCACTTCAAAAGAAATTGATAAAATTTGATAATTGATTTCGTCAGTTTTGAGAGTTGAGCATTCTTGTGCCAAGGAATTTTGTTCTCACTGGAGATGTTTACCTTGGAAGTGAGACGGATTCCAGATTGGAAACAAGTTTGGAGGAAGCCAAGCAATCTTTGAGTCCTTTGGCTTCTGGCAGTTGCTTGGTCTCTTTCTCATCTGCTCTGCAGTCAATCAATAACAACCAGCCTGCTCCAGCTGAGAACATCCAGCGCCAGTTCAACTTGAACAGCCTGGAAACTGGCAGTCAGCTGCAGGAGCCAACCGTCGAACATGCAGCCTGTTTTGTAACATTGCGTAACCACTTGTCGCCAGATTCAGATGAGATTCAAACAAGACTTCCAAAGAATTCATCGATCAAATCCTTGGCCCTTTTCCAAGTTTTCAAAACTCCAGCAGAACCAACTCCCGACTATTCCCGACTCCCATCTCTCGCAGTGCAAACGAAAATCGCGCTTGGAAAACGATTGCAAGGGGCAAGAGAGGGAATTGAATGAAATGCTCCAGTGAACATTAGTGGTCAATGGTGCGACATCAAGGTTCACAACTTTTGTTCATTTTAACAAGATCCGGAAGTTGGTTTCTGCTTGTCATTTTTGAAATTCTGGTATTAATTACCAAGGCAACCTCAATTCGTTGACGCCAGAGAACATCAGTAAAACAACTGTCAGAACCCCGAGGAACTTGACAAAATAGTGTCTTCGAGAACTTGCATCAACTTACATTAACTGAGCGAGAGTTGGCTGCCATTCCTGTGATCATTCCGAATCATTTCCACATCGGATGTCGGTCTAGGAGTGGTACAATGCTGCTTTCCACGTGGGCACCAGCACCTCCACGGCATTCAAATGCGCAGTGGGTGGCGAAGGAGGACAGCGCATATGTAATTGTATAATCAATACATACATAAACAATAATAAACAAACAACTAGAAAAACAAATTAATTTATTAAATAAATATACATGTGCAAATATAGATTGATATAGTATATACAGTACATGTATATACATCAGAGAAATATAGAAAAATCAGCAACAGACGAAGAGCAAACCGATGGAAAAAAGCTTTAAAATGTCGCTACAAAACGCAAAACCCTACAAAGACAAGTCAACAACAGTCAAGAAAAGATTTCGCTACCGCGTTTTCTCGAACGTCCACAGTCCTTTTGCCTGAAAGGTGAGATGAGTGAGATGTGTCCTAAATCGTCCTGATGTGTAGTCTGTTTTGTGTGCACAGCGGCTTCACCAGAGGCACTAGAAGCTGAATAAGTAACAGGTTGATTGATGATCGTTATTTATGTCGGTTGTATCTTTTTGGATATGTGTTTTTACTGTTTGGTGGGCGTATGGGTTTGGCATTTTTTTGTTGTCATTATTTTGGAGGATTTGGGGGATGTTGCTGTCCGACATTGCAAGCAGGGGTATGTAGAATCCTGGTCTGGGAACTGAGAAAAACTGCGCTGTTTGTCGAATCTAGCCCACTGCTAAAAATGCCTGTGAAGTTCAAGCACATTGTCAATTTGAGGTATTTGACATTCCATGTATAGTAGGCCAGGCTGTCACATTAGACGTCTGTTGCCGTTTCGGCTGATAGGGCCCTTGAGCTGTACGGCTCACGCCATCAGTGAAAAAGCTGCGTGGACTGCGCGATCCCGTTGCCAATTCACATTGGTACTGTAGCGGAGCAGGTGACGACCTGACTCCGGGGTATGTGTCAGATCCAGGGGACGAGACCGTTGAAATCTTGAACTTTTCACTCGCCGAAATTGTCCGATCCCTGTGGGACAGACCTGCAATTGGCTGACATTGGGTATAGGCAGTCCATCGCAAGAATCGTCGAAATGTCGGTAGCTGGACTTAGGCTTGGCTCCGACCGACCCGCCGCGCCTTGAGAGACCAAGAGTGGATCATACATGTGCCATGGGGATGCAGCGCGCTACCATGATTGGGATTTCCGGTCCCTTTTACGGATAAAGCTGTTTGATTCTAAGGAGGGTGGGGGTTCTATCCAGACAACCGCAAGAGCCCATGCTGAGTTGCACCCAGCGTAGGCGTAGATGGAGGAGAGTGCTGACTGAGCTAGAGCCTTCCATGCTAGGCCCTTCCATGCCACTTTCCGATGGACTCCGTATGGAACTCATGCTTGAATTTGTCAGGCTCAAGCCGGCAAGAGGTATTGGTCGTAAAAGTATGTGCCGCTACCAAGGACTTCGAAGGAGTTGCCAAGGTGGTGTTTGATCAGTACTCAGGAATCCATTTGAGGGAGGGGTCCAAAGCTTGGAATGGTCGCACTTTCACCCCGCAATTGTATGGGAAGTCTGGAAAAGGGTATGGAGGTTCCAAGGGGTCGCCAAGTGGTAAAGGTTCTGGATCCTACAAAAGACAGCCTACAATGCCTATCCCGACGAGGAAGGCTACGGTGAATATGATGAATATCTAGAAGAATGGTATGAAGAAGATGCACCATGTGTAGGGCGATTAGGTGGGATTGAAGAACATACCACAGAACAGCACATGCCAGATGCTGGTAACCCTACTGAAGCATACGACTTCCATGAAGAGATTGATGAGTACAACGCAACAGCCTTAAATGCCCTTGTGGATTTAGGGGAGGGAGAGACTGAGGGTGACAAGAGCATTGGAGAAGCCATCCAGCTTCAGCTGGCAGCCTTTGTAGCCTTTGGCCAAGTGAAAGGAAGGGGCGAAGGCAAACCAAAAGGCAAACGAAAAGTCATGCGTCTCTTGGGGATCAAGGCCAAATTGAAGTGTCTACGCTGCGGCGCTTATGGGCATTGGGCAGGTGACCCTGTTTGCAAATTCCCAGGTGCCAAAGGAAATGCTTCTGCGAAAGATTCTAAACCCCCATCAAATCCTAGGCCAGCAGCACATTCTGCAGACTTTTCAGACTCATCTTTCAGACGAGGGTTTTCTTTGAATGCACAAATCACCAGTTGCAAACATGGTCATCAAGAGCGCAGCTGCCTCCTCGAAGGCACCCAGTTTGAGGCCCTCTATGATTCCTGTAAGACGAAATGATCCCACAAAACTTCCTGGAAGCAATACGAAGTTCAAGTTTGGCCAATTTAAGGAGAAGACGTTTTGGGAGATCTTGCATGACCATCCAGACTACTTTGCATGGACGCAGAAGAACGCAAAGAGTCCAGGAGCCTCAGAGTTTGCCGAGTGGGTGAATCAACACTTTGAATACCGGGGGACTGTTGTGTATCGTAGGAGTGGCTTAGAACCACCACCTCTTCCAAAGCAACACACACGCTTGAGGAAACCACACAGAATCCACCAAAGGAAAAATGTGCTGTCTGCAACCAGTTCACCCGTCAGAAAAACACAAATTGCGGCCATGCAACCACTACTAGGAGGGAGATGATCCCCCAGTATGCGTTTGAAGAATGCCCCCAAGAAAAGGAATTGAGGGGTTCTTCAAGAACTTTCATCGGACCTTTTGTAAGCAGTGTTGCATGTATTTGGATGAGACTCCGATGGAGCTTCAGAAGACCCGCAAAGCAGTTTCCAACAAAGTTTTGGATGCGCCACTGGATCATTGAGCAATTGGATCATGACTCCGAAGAGATGACCTCTAGCCCCGAGATGCTGGATATGATTCTCACTGACTTTGCCTCCCTGGTCACCACTTGCTCGGAATCCGGGGCCATCACATCTACCAGGCTGCATGAACGTCTCCATCAATCCATCGCCAGCGCAGAAGGAGACAGCAGTTTTTCCGTGGTTGGTGAGGAAGAGAACCATGTGGAAGATTTTGCAGGGATTGGAGTGTGTTTTCACGGAGATGTGCCAGAAGTAGAAATGTCCGATGGTTTGGCGCATGTGTTTCACAAGACCCGAGATATGTAATTACAGCATGAACGACCCCAACATCTATGTTGTACTAGATGAAGGGTGTAATTCGACATGCCACTCCAAGCACTGGGCTGTCTGGATTGGGGACTGGTGGGACCTCAACAGAGGGATCCCGAACCTTGCCTTTCAGCTTGAGTTTCATGGATAGCCATTGCACACCCGCCCATGGGGTGCTTGAGACACATCAGCTTAGCACCGGAAGTCGCCATTTTTGTTGTCACTGCATGCTCAAGCCCACCTGGGACTTGTCAAGGACTTGAAGAATGGTACCAGATCCATTGATGGTAACCAGCTGCCGGTGTTCAGATGTTCACAGACAGGATTGGTGATGTTGGCAATCACTCCCCATCAGCTTGATCCTTAACAGTTCCCAATCAATCCCAAAATGCCATATATAATTTAGAACTGCATTCACAGCTGTCTCTGACATGACTTCGCCAATGAGTGCCTCCAAGACTCCCAATGGATTTCATCATCCGAACACCACTGCAGTTGAGTCCGCTCTGGACCAAGCTTTGCGGGGGCTGTTCGAATGTCTTGGTCATGACTTCTGGTGACTTCTGGAGCGAGGTGGAGCAACCGACAGCCTGTTTTGAATGGCGTCACTGTGTTGCAGATTGATTGCCGCCACTTTCATGATCCTGACAACGACAGGAACCTCAGAGGACATGTTGGCAGACACCCTGGCATTATGAGGAGTCTGGCGAGGAACCATGCCTTTTGTAGAGTTCGTGGAGCAGGTGAAAGCCTGCTGGTTATCCACCTGTATTGCACGAGTGGCCGAGGCAGAAGTGTTGGGATCGCAATTTTCCTGTATCACTTCTTTGTCGCCTCGGAGTGGAGGAGCCCTAAGCTGATTCATTTTCACAGCCCGGAGTGGAGTGAGATGAGTTGCAGTGGTCGCTGTGAGGCTCGGTTAATACTTGTGAACTTCGTCGCTTGGTTGGTCCGTACTTGCCAGACGTTCGCGTGCCGGGTGAGCCTGCTAGGCCACCATCTTCAGCACCAGCTTCATCAAGCACAGTGACTACTTCGGCAGCGCCAAGACCTGTGCTCACTCCAGCTCGTCGCACTGTGGCAGTTCCAGTTCGAGCTCCAATGACTCCATCTCATGTTCCAGTTCATCCACCACCAGCTGCACCTCATCGACTCCATCCACCCCCTGGTCATCCACCTCACAGGCCACCTGACCGTGAAGCGGCAGGCAGTGACTTGACTATGGAGGTGTTGGCGAATCAGGCCCATGAGCTCTCAGGATTGGTTTGGCAGGAAGATCCCCGTCGGATCGGCGATCTAGGAGTAGAAGTGGTCGAGGCATCCCTACCTGTCTATGGGGAAGATCGCCGACAACAGCTGGAAAGGGAGATCTATGCCTTGCTACATGGTGATGATGGGGCCCCCTACTGCTGGAACATCGATGAAATGTGCTGACTTGGATCACAGATAGTGTCCGCTCATGGTCTAACAGAGACCGAACGTTGTGGCTCTGCGATCCAGACCTGCCGGCGGAAGAGCAACAGATGATGGGGATCAGAGTCGACATTCGGGTCCGAAGTCACATCCGGAACACCGGGATCAATGGAGGGAAATGGATGAAGCAGCGGAACTGGGTGAAGCCCGCCTTCTTCAGACCCAGGGACACCCATGGAGCTGCTTGGGACAGACTTCAGAGGGAAAGTCCGATCAGTGTAAACGCTGAGCTACCCGTTTCGTGGTCTGACACGATCACCTTTTTTCACCGTGACGTCCATCCTTGGGCATACATGGGGCGCCTTGTGGTGTTGTCGGGGGATCAGGATTTTGGGGGCCGCAAGCTGGAAGCCCAAAATTGGAGCCGAAAGAACCCGCCAATTCCACTTCAACCCAGTCGGTTCATGATTTGTACGGATGATGACAAGTTTGGGGGGAATCCCAAAGAGCAAACCCCAAAATCTGAATCCATTGCTGTCTTTTTCCACAATGACCACATGTCATGCGCGACGGCTCTAGCTGCCGCCTTGAGCGCTAGCCAAAACCCGCTCTGCATTCACTTGTGCGCAAATGGCATTGGAAAAAGGGAAATCTGTATGTCAGGTCACCTCATTCACAGCGATCGTTTCTGACACGTCAAACAAACAGCGCAAAAACAAAGGAAAACAAAAAGGATCGATCGTTGTCTTCCACTGCATCTTTGAGGCTGGAATAGCCCAGAAACACAAAACGAAACAAGGAAAACCAACCAAAAACACAAAGGGAGGGCAAATCCAAGTATGAAAGCTAGCAGCCGGAAATGCATGTAAATGAATTGACGGCACTGGCAAAACAAGCTTGTCAATCAGCTGTTCAAGACTGACTTCATTAGCTTCTTGCTGATGTTGACTTGCCCTTTGGACACGGCCGAGAACATGTACCCAAGGCCGGCACACAAAACGCACACAGCCCCAGAAGTGCCTGTCAAAATGGGGGCACCTGTCCAAGCTTCCAAGTAATACGAAAAGGTACGAAAATCCCAAGAAATTAATTTGATGGCCCAAAGATATTGCAAGGCCCAGGGCATGGAGCTTCCAGGAATGCCAGTGTAACTAACACAAGCACCGCACCCACCGCCAACACACCAACCAAAAAAGAAAACAGCAACCAGGCAGGGAAAACCAACAAGAAAAAGATCACTGTACATTGAAGCTGCAACACGCTTATGGGACTATCGACACTGCGCCCTCAGACTTTGCTTCTCACGCTCGAGCTTGGGTCTTCAAGAAGGCCCTCAAAGCAGCGGCCCTAGCGGCATTGGTTCTTGGCATTGCGGCTCCTGGAAATCTCACTTGGTGGATGCTTTTGAGCACAGGTCCCGCGAGGCTTTTGACTTGATTCTCGACATCTTCCCAGCAACTCATGTTTTCAAAGCTGATTTCATCTTCCAGCAAAGCTTACACTAACTTCTTCGTTTTGGCCGGCAACGCCGTCAAATTTGAGTTCGTACCAGCTGAGCAGCTGAGCTCATTGCTGAAGGTGTTGGGACAGATGACTGCGACAGCGCCCGGGGAATAGCACTCAAAATGCCCTCGAGCCCTTCAACAAGAAAGAGGTGCCAACAGAGGAGCAGTTTTGAGGAGTACCACGTCATCGGCATCTGGACCACTTACGGATGACGAGTGGGTGCAAATGCAAAAGATAATGAAACGTTTGCCACCAGCACCTGAGAAGCCCAAGAAGGATGAACAACAGCCGCAAGACAAAAAGGCCAAAACCGTCCAAAAGGAGGCGAAGCATGGGATGCCACCGCCGGATTTGCCGGCACCACCTCTGCAGGGATACGCTGGAGTATGGAGAGGTGGATGTTGTCCTGGCTTTCGCTGGCAAGGAGGGCAGCATGGTCAAAATAGACCACAAGGACCTCAAGGACCACAAGGTTTTTGGCCTGGATGTGGAGGGCAACAACAACAAGTACCTCCAGGAGGACCTCAAGGCTTTCATCCAGGACTACAAGGGCAAGCTCCGGCACAGCAAAGCATGTCGTTGGACCTTGGGCCAGTGA